AGTAAAACATATGTATAAGATTGCAAATTGCTCATCTGGGGATTTTCCTCATTAGCTGAGGGTAATTGGTGTCAAATTGTCAGTTTTCTAGCCATCTTCAAAAGGCTTCATAGATAAATGCTTGAGAATTATGTGGCTAGGTAGATTTATAATTTCAAGATGAAAATAATATTTACAGTTACATATTTACTAAGTTAGAATAGTATATCTTAATCTGATAGGCAGGAACCCATCCTAATAATATATTTATTTATTTATTTTGTAAGGTTCAGGGGTTGCCTAATTTTTCCTCTACCCATATATACAATACATGCTTTGCCTTTAAGAGCTCAGCTGAAGTCAGGCGGTGCTGGTGTGCACCTTTAATCCCAGCACTCGGCAGGCAGAGGCAGGCAGAGGCAGGCAGATCTCTGTGAGTTTGAGGCCAGCCTGGTCTACAGAGTGAGTCCCAGAGCAGCCAGGGCTACACAGAGAAACCTTGTCTCGAAAACCAAATAAAGAGCTCAACTGGATCATTGTGGGAACTTAAACCAAATGAGCTGAAAATATTGGGCTAGGGAGTGTGGGGCTTGTGAAGGGTGTGTTGCTGATTGCTGTTAAGTATATTATTTTTTAAAAAGATGTGTATTTTTTATGTATATGTATTTATGTGCCTGAGTGTGTATGTGTGTACCACATGCATGGAGGGGCACTTGGAGGCCAGAAGAGGGGTGAGAGCCCTGGAGTTGGTGTTGGCAGATGATCGTGAGCCCCCATGTGGAGGCTGGGACTTGAACCCAGGTATTCTTCAAGAGCAGCAGTGCTCTTAACCTCTGAGCTGTCTCTCCAGCCCCTTACACACAGTATTTACGCCAAAATCCAGATGTCTTGCTCTGCAGCTAATCTAATATGTACAAAGGAACAAGAGAGTGCTGCTGGGGGAGCCTCAGGTGACTGTGTTACCCAGTGATTGACAGGAGCTGACGGGAGTTTCCTGCAGGACTGAAAAAAGGTTCAAGGAAACAAAGATGCTCTCTTGGTTCCATCATTCCCTTCATTGATTTTAAGTTGGAGTTTTCATTGTTTTAGAAGTAAATATGAAAATTTTTACTCCCTTGTCGTTTGATGCAAAATAAAGACCTTGGCTCTCGGGCTGGGGAGATGGATCAGCAGTCAAGAGCCCTGGCCGCTCTTGTAGTGGACCCAGGTTTGGTTCCCAGCACCAACTATGTGACTCAAAACCACCTGCAATTAGTTCCAGGGGATCTGATACCCTGTTCTGGGGTCCCAGATACCAGGCATATAAGCAGCACATGGAGGCAAACACTCATACACATAAATAAATATAAAAAGATCAAAGGAAAAAGAAAAGACCCAGGCTCAGCCCTGTGTAGTAGCATACATTCTTAATCCTAGCATGCAGAGGACCAGCCAAGAAAGTTCAGGGCCAGCCTGGGCCATATAGCAGGAGGACTGGATTCAGGAAATAACAACAGAGAGCCAGGCTGAGGTCTTATGAAGTTGGTGCTTATAAGCCCTTGGGTTGTGGAGAGTGGTGACCTTGCAGCCAGGGTGCACTTCGTGTTTCCAGGGCTGCCGTGCAGATCTCAAACACATCCCTCCCAAGCTGCACAGACAAAGCCTAAGCCTGCTGTACCTTCAGGATGCCCCGCTAAGCCTGCATCTTCAGGATGCCCTGCTAAGCCTGCACCTTCAGGATGCCCCACTAAACCTACATCTTCAGGATGCCCTGCTAAGCCTGCACCTTCAGGATGCCCCACTAAGCCTGCACCTTCAAGACACCCCGATGCCACTTTCTTTGCCCTGTTCTCACAATATGATGTTAAATAGAAACAACCCTGCTCCTGCTGTTTCCTCTGCAAAATGTGAGTTCACAGCATCCCAATGGAATTCTCCAGTAAAGAAATGCATGTAATGGGCCTGGTGGGATGGCTCAGTGGTTAAGACTGCTGTCTGTTAACCAGGTGGTGGTGGCACACGCCTTTAATCCCAGCCCTCAGGAGGCAGAGGCAGGAGGATCTCTGTGAGTTCGAAGCCAGCCTGGTCTACAAGAGCTAGTTCCAGGACAGGCTCGATAGCTACAGAGAAACCTTGTCTCGAAAAAACAAAAACAAAACAGTCAGCAACAACAACAAAGATGCTGTCCGCTCTTGCAGAGGACCAGAGTTCGGTTCCCACCACCGTGTGCCTGCTGCACAAGCATGGGAGCCTGAGTTTGATCCCCAGCTTCCATGTAAAAGGCCAGGCAGCGCTAGCGTGCTCTTGTAATCCCAGCACTGGGGAGGTGGATCCAGATGACTCTTTAGGAATTGCTGGCAGCCAACCTAGCTCAATCTCAGATTTCTATGTACCGTGGAAGAAAAACAAGGTGGGTGCTGGAGAGATGGCCCAATGGTTAAGAACACTTGTTGCGTGCCAGGCAATGGTGGTGCACACCTTTAATCCCAGCACTCGTGAGGCAGAGGCAGGTGGATTTCTGTGAGTTCAAGGCCAGCCTGGTCTAAAGAGTGAGTTCCAGGACAGCCAGGGCTGTTACACAGATAAACCCTGTCCCGAAAAACAAAACAAGCAAATTTTAAAAAGAACACTTACTGCTCTTGCAGAGAACCTGGGTTTGACTTCTAACACCTACACGGTAGCTCACAATTGTATGCAATTCCAGTTCTAAGGGATCTGGTGCTCTCTTCTGACCTCCACGGGCACCAGGCATGCATGTGGTACACATATATACATGCAGTCTGATTTCTGGCCTCCACACCTATGCACATACAAATGCTCATACACTTCACATGCGTGTATCACACGTGCACACAGGAAGTACATTTAAGGTAGGGAAAGAGGAAGCCATCTCCAGGCTTACTGTGCTTTGGTGAAAGGGGTCTGCTAAGCGCTTTGAGATGCCATTATTTGATGTTCCTGTTTCTGTTTCTCTGTGTGGAGAACTCCAAGAAGCTACCGTGTTTTTAAGAGCAGGACCTCTCTTTTGTAAGGGCAACAGGACTGCTGGAGGGGTGTGGGGGAGGGGAGCCTCTGCTTCCAGGAAGTGTTTGTCCACCGAAGGAGTCCAGGTGACCCGCTTGAGGAAAGGCAGCGTGGATCTGTCATTTCCCATGCAGTGTTCCTGGGTCCAGGGATGCGTGGAACAACAGCCTGCTCTCGTGAAGGAAGCTCATTTAATTACAGACTGTGGCTGCCAGCTGCTCTGCCTTTTGTCCGAGCAACTCTTTGTAAATGGTCCTTGCTGTACCGTTTGTCGCCCTCTGCTGGCACAAGTCATTATTGCGGACTTCAGGTCACAGACCTAAGCCGACAGGGTCGCTTTTAAGGCTTAAAGTAATGCGTTATGACAACAGCTTTTGCTTGTGTGTGTATACACACTGTACTGTACACATAGTCTGTTGTGTGGAAGTACTCCTTAGATGGCAGAGTACTTCTCAGGACTCTGAGCGTGTCTGGCAGCATTCCTGATCAGCAGACCCCTCTGGACAGCTTCTTGTGTTTCTAAGTTAATTAATTTTTTATTTTGTGTGTGTATAAGTGCTTTGCCTGCATGTATGAGTGCATACCATCTGTGTTCCTGGTGCCCACAGAAGTCAGAAGACGGCATTGGATCCCTAGAACTAGAATGAACAGACAGTTGTGAGCCACCATGTGGGCGCTGGGAACGGAACCCAGGACCTCTGGAAAAACAGCCAGTGCTCTTAACTGATCCGTCTCCCCAGCCCCTTAGGGCAGCTTTGTCTGTGTATTCCCATTTCCCTATGCCCTGCAGACTGGACTTAAGGAAACTGTTAATAGAGGTTGTCATATCATTAAAATGATGTCACCAGACTGGGTACTCTGTATCTCGGTGTCACGAATGTCCTTTGTCCGTCACCGTAGGCTCAGAAACTGAAGCCTAGAGAAGGTGCAGCTCCCAGGGTCTGATTCTGGGAGTTGTGTCCCCAGAGAGAACACCGTGTCCACCAATGAGCACAGGCTGTTTCTGTAGGTCTCTGCTATGGACCACTCCTTATAGAAATCCTTCCCTCGACTTCTGGTACACTGAACTAACAGACTGGTCTGTTTATTTGAAGTCTCCTGTTTTCTTCTATGCTTCCTTTTCTGTCCCCCAGTTCCAACCTGTTAGATGGTTTTTCAGCAGCGACTCCACATTCAGGCCTGCCGTCAGTGGGTGGATAACCAGCAGGGGCACCTCTCAGACTGAACGGCTCCTAAGCTATTGTCCTCTGTCTCCAGCCCACTGGAGCTGCTTTCCTCTGAGGGCTCTTCTGTCTTTCAGACTAATCATGCTGAAAGGGAAGCCTGTATTTTATCTCCTGGAAACTTTGCTCTTCCTGGACGCACCCTTAATGTCACCTCCATGTTGGGGAGGCCCTGCCTCAGACTTTCGGGCCATTACCTCTTCTCCCCTGGTTTCTTTTGTCTGCCTGTCCCGATTCTGTCTCTGCGCATGATGTCACTGGGTCCTTGTGCTTGGTCTACTTAGATTTTAGAAATAGAGACTGTCTGAGTACCCAGAGGGCAATCTTAAAAACTGCCATTTGTAATAAAATATGTGGAGCCTGGCCCCTTCTCTCTGCCTCCCCACTGCATCCTGCCCCTTTAGTGCAGCTGATGCAATCTCTTCTAGGCCTCCGGTAGTCTCTGTTTGTCTCAAACTTTGATCCACAGCAAGCTCTTTGAAGCCTTTACAATTTCCAGGGCCTGGATGAAGTGCTCCTTTTTCTATAAAAAAATGTCTCACTTCACAGGTCTGTGACAATGGAGCAAGTGATCTGTTGGAATGGATTCTGTATTGTGGTCTTGCTATTTAATTCTTGTATTCTTGTTTAACCTTTCATAAGCATCTGTGACGGATTCTAAGTATACACAGAACCTGGTACCTGATCCGTTACAGAGAAGTTTGTTGAATCGGGCTGCTGACTTTGAGGCAGTCTCGGGCCTGGGGTCGTGCGCCTCTGACCTCACGTTAACCACCTTGTTCCTGTGTGCTTTAGCTTCAGATCCCCAGTGTGAAAGGCTTCGACTTTGCTAAGCAGCACCTGGGTCAGCACAATAAAGATGACATACTGATCATCCACGAGCCAGCGCCGCTGCCGGGACCCGTGAAGGACCACGCCACGCCCTCTGAGAATGGAGATGTGCCGAGTCCAAAGTCAAAGATCCCTCCTAAGAACATCCGCCACAGAGGAAGGTCAGTATTGGGCTTTCCAGATTGTTCTCTGTTGCAGAGCGTGTTTCCTCTTTCGGACTGTTTCTGGTGTCAGAAGTGCCGGTGATGAGTATGGCCTTCAGCCTGCAGTCTGGGAGATTGTTGACTCGTCCAGTTTCACATATAAACCCCAAAGTGTTTTCTGTCCCTTCTGCTGGACTAGCAAATGAGACTGTGTGACTTCTTCCTCTGACCTCCACCCAGGTGTTGTGGCATACTAGATAGATAGATGTCAAATAATAAAATAAATATTAAACTTGGTCCACCACACATACTCAGTCAGGAGGCCTCCTGTGCCTGTGTCTGCTCTCCTGGTGGTCTGCAGTGACCTTCATCAGTTCCTCCTGATGGCTCTGTTTTTTCCCAGCTGCCCACACTGTGACACATCACAGGCGCTCATCCACTCCCTCATGCCCATTCCCAGTCCACTTCCAATTCCTGTGCTAAAGCAAAGCTTGGGGAGAGTTGTGTATTCATTTTCCAAACTTCCAGGGAGGCCCTTGTTGCCCTTTGCCTGTGAGAAGAACTAGAATGGCCCTGAAGAAGACTGCCTGGTCAGGGTTGACTTTAGTTCACAGCTTGGGCCCCTGAGACCTTCCGCTGTCAGCCTCTGCTTGAGATTCAGAATCCTGGCTTCTGATTGACTGCTGGTAGTGGACAAAGCCCGTGTCCGTACCACTGTTCAACATCCAAACCAGTGGCGCCACTTGTGCCTTCTCCTGTCTGCCTCCGGGATCTGGTCTTCAACAGATGTTGGAGCTTGGTCCTTAGGAAAGAAAATGAATTATGCAGAGAGATGCTCTTGGCTTAATTATTTCTTAGGCATAGAGTGCAACAAATCACCAGAGATGATTTAACGTGTTGGTAAATGATGGAGGAGGGTCATATGTCTAGTGGTTAATAAAGAAACTGCCTTGACCCTTTTGATAGGACAGCAGCTTAGATAGGCGGAGTAGACAGAACAGAATGCTGGGAGAAAGAAGCCGAGTCAGGGAGTCGCCATGATTCTCCTACCTGACACAGGAGCAGGTTAGGAATGTCCCTGGTAAGCCACCTGCTCGTGGTGCTACACAGATTATTAGAAATGGGTTAATCAAGATGTGAGAGTTAGCCAATAAGAGGCTAAAACTAATGGGCCAGTATTTAAAAGAATACAGTTTCCATGTAATTATTTTGGGTGAAAACTAGCCGGGCGGCTGGGCGCTGGGAACGCAGCCCACAGCTCCTACTACAGGTAAAAGTTTTCAAAGAATTGCTTTCTCCCCAATAGCCTTACAGTAAACAGCAGCTGATCCTTCGCCACAGTGGTCTTTGAGGGAGAAACAGTTGTCCTGCTCGGCTTTGAGTCCCACCTCCATGGAGCCAGCCAAGGGTGGGTCAGAAAGCTAAGGGGGGAATCGAGTTGGTGGTAAATGTCCAGACTCATTCTTGTCATGATTCTTAAAGCAGCTCTTGCAGCTCTTTGCATTGTTGTGGGAGGTGCTCTAAGTAATGTAGAGATGCTTACAAGAGAGTAGTGTAGTTAAAGGCAAACACTGAGCCATTTCGTGTAAGGCACTTGAGAGCATCCATGGCCCACAGGGACCACGGGATGGCTGTGTAGACAGGCCCTCGAGGGCACCTGAATGTATTAGCAGTTCATTCTGCAGTTGTAGCTAGGAAGTGCATGGAGAGAGACCAAGTGCTCATAGGTTAAGGCTGTTCCCTACCTAGGCTGGTACATCCTGGTGCCGTGTTACCCTTAACGTTCATGCATGGAATCAGATCTCATTTGGGGTCATTGTTTCAAAGGTTTGGAGTTATTGGGGTAGCCCCATAACTTCCCTAACCTCCTAAGGTTCTTGGGTTCAATTGATGCTAAACCCGGCCAGAAGCCCAGGTTCTTCTTTTTAATCCCTGTCTGTCCATCCTTCTGTCTGTCCATCCATCCATCTGTCCTTCCTTTCTTCCTCCCTCTCTCCCTCCCTCCCTCTTTCCCTCCCTCCTCCCTTCTCTTTGTGTGTGTGTAGAGGTGGAAGTCAAGGGATAATAGTTGGGACTCAGTTCCCTTCTACCGTGTAGGTCTCAGGGGATCCCATCAGACTGTCAGGCTTTGGCAAACACCTTCTTCACCTGCTGGGCCATTTCACAGACCATTATTTTTAAGAGCGAGTTGTTTTTGTTTGTTTTCTCACAGAAGTATTAAACCCAGGGCTTTAAAATTGCTGACTGGTGTTCAAACACTTTGCTACATCCTCAGCTCTGATGCCCAGGTTCTTTTCCATCCAACTGTGTTGGACCCAGACTGCCTGTGAGGAAATGACCTGGGCCAAGGGCTCAGCCTTGGGCCCCAGCAGCTGTGGGAACCTCCTCCCCACCACTTAATGTCCAGCAGTTGTTGAAATGCACGCTGCTCAGTTAGCCTTGCCAGTCTGTTCTCAGGACATGGTGACTGTCGCCCAAGCCTGCTTTGAAATGAACGAGACATTTAAAAATCCTTCTAGGCCTCTCTGATGTTTGCATTCTGCTTTCTGTCTGCAGAGTTTCTCCCTCAGATGCCGACTCTACAGTCAGCGAAGAGTCTAGCGAGAGGGACGCGGGAGAGAAAACGCCAGCCACTGCCCATGAGAGCAAGGCCCACAGAGCTCCGCAGAGTGGTCTGTCCCTGTCCTTCCTTCCAGTGTTAACAGTTGTCATGATCAGAGTCCCATGGGGCAGGGGATTGTCCTACTATAAATACTAAACTTAAAAAAAAAAAACCAAAAACTACAGCCGGGGCAGAGACAGGCGGTTCTCTGACAGTTCAAGGCCAGCCTGGTCTACAAAGCAAGTTTCAGGGCACAGAGAAACCCTGTCTTGACAAACAAACAAATAATCTACAAAAACGGAATACCCATCACTCTTGTTCGGTTTCTCAGCCTTGTCCCTTCTGAACACTGTGCTGGTGTCTACTTCAAGGGAAGGCGGTAGAGAATGTGGGGTAGAGAATGTGGGTCCACTGAGCTGTGACTTAAAGCCAGCAGTTCCTTCTAACTTAGCGTCAGGACAGATTTCCCGTCTGAAGGACAAGGAGAATTTCATAGATGCTGTAGTCCTAAAACTGCCTTTAGGACAGTATCTTTTTTCGGAACCAGTTTGATGTCACACTGTGGGGTGATGTTTATCTGTGGCAGGTTTATACCCTTCATGTGTGGTCCCATTTTCTAGATCATTCTCCCAGCAGGTAGTTGGGTGTGATCAGATGGCTCAGCCTCTTTGCAGGCCAGGCACAAAGGTCACACCCACTGTCCAGTTCATAGCTGTGGGTCTAATAACCAAAAACCAAAACAAGCAGAAACAAACAAACAAACCAAAACTATGCCATAGGCCTGCCTTGACTTGGTAAGGGGTTTTTGGCGTGATGGCAAAGTGTTGTGGTTTCATTTTATTGAATTTGGGGTTTTTGGAGGCAGAGTCTCATGTAGCCCAGCTCTACCTGAAAATCTGGTTCTTCCGATTCCACCCTGACTGGTTAGCAGTGTGGCTCCACGTTTGTTTGTGTATTGTGTGTGTTTATTATGACCGTGGCACACATGGGAAAATCAGGTAGTTTATGGGAGTCCTTTCTTTCCTTCTATCTTCTGGATTCTGGGAATTGGACTCGGGTTGTCTGTCCTGGTGGTGAACTCTTGTTACTCACTGAGCCATCCTGGCCTGGGCCCCAGTAGCTTGGTTTCAACTTAACAGATTGTGTTAAATGGGTTACTCTTGGCGAACTGGCTGGGGCTTTGTTTTTATCTCATGATCATATCTCAGCAGTTCAGAGATAAGGGGTTTAATAATGGATTTTGTACGTATTGTTTTGGACACTTTTGGGTCTCCATAGCTCTGGCTAGCCTGGCAGTCACTATGTAGCCTGGCCAACTCATAGGTTGGCATCACAGTGTCCCACTTGCCTGTGCCAGGTGCCGTGGAGTTAAAGGCACATGCCATCCTACCCAGCTGTACTTGCTTTAGAATGTTTCTGGTTTAGTGTTTACGTTTACTTTGTTTTTATGAGTGTTTGAGTGCCTGCGTGTATGTTTGAACACCACTTGCATGCAGTGCCCATGGTGGCCTAAAGAGAATTTGGGTCTCTGGGAACAAGAATTTGGGTGGTGCTTGTAACTAAACTCAGGTTTCTGCAAGATCAGCAAGCGCTCTGAACCTCAGAGCCATCCCAATAGCCCCCTTTGTGAGATTACATTATTTCTCCACTAAAAATACAGCATAGACAGAACCACATTCTGTAAACGAAGAGACTGGACCAAACCTTAAAGACCTTTTATGCCCCTGTCCCCCACTTCCAAGGCCTTGCAGGTCCCGCCCCAAGCTCCTGCCACTCACCCTTGCCATCTCTCCCTGCTGGGTCTTAGGTAATTTTGAGGAAATACCCATCTAGTGTAAGGGAAGAGTTTTTTCCTTGGGATTTAGTTTCACAACATCTTAAAGCTTATTTAGTACCATGGCAACGGGTGCCGTGTTTCAGATATGGCAGGATTAAAATCTCGTTTCGATCCTGGGAAAGAAATAGTTGAAAAAGGAAGAAGAAAGTCCTCACCCTTCTCTAGTTAGCTTTTGCTGTTTGTTAGTGCCCGCCCCTACTCCTTCTGACACACATCCAGTGTGCTGAGAAGGGAGCAGACCCAAGCACCACTGTCAGCATGTCTTCACCTGTGAGGCAGGGCAGTGAGTAGGAGCTGCCTGGGAGTGCTGGGAGTTCGGGTGCTGCTACCGTAATGATCGGAAGCAGCCTAAGATAATATCAGCTCACTTAAAGCTCCCATCTTCTTAAAAGGGGCCATCAGACAGCTTTGGGGCTAACAGGAGGCTTTATTAAATACCATATATTTGAGTGTGTGTGCTCGCGCACACATGCTGGGCAAGTGCTTTCCATTGAGCTAAACTTCTAATGTCCTCCCCTCTGGAGACAGTGGCTTCCATGTAGCCCAGGTTGGACCTCAAACTAGTGATTCTCTTTTTGAGTCCTGGGAAAGCAAGTGTACGCTGCACCTCGATTGTTTCGTAAAATCTGAATAAAAAATCCATTTTCTGTGGCATGTCCTGTGAGCGGGGAGGAGGTTGTTGAGAACCACCAGGGTTGCCCTTAGATGAGTGCTCCCTGTCACCACTGTGTGTGGCACACTCAGGAGCCAGCTTTAGGTTCTCTAGGATGCTATTTTCAGCCCCGCTCTTGCAATGGAAACTCCTGAAAGACTGTGTTTTGGTCATTTCAATCTTGACTCCACTCCCTGCCCTCCCGTTTGGAAGGTGCCGGCAAGACTGTCATGCATCCCTTACGTTCATCTCAGAGACCTCCAGAAGTAACTGGCTCACAGGGTACCGTGTTCTCAGCCGTTGTAGTTAGGGGAACCTCATCTGTTTCCGCTTTCACCCCTAAAGAGATCATGGAGAGGCGAAAGCGGAGGGTGCGTGCCCTTGAACAAAAGCGGTCCTCCCAAAGCCGCTATCCCCGCCTTTCCCTCAGGAACACACCTACTAGAATGGACTGCCAAGTGCTTTTTGAAGGGGGGCAAGGTGGCTCAGACAGGGTCTCACTACGTAGCTCTGGATGCAGAGCTCTGACTGTGTAGCTCTGGCTAGCCTGGATCTCACTCTGTAGACCAGGTTGGTCTTGAAGTCCCAGAGATCCACTTGCATCTGCCTCCTGGGTGCTGTGTTTGCCACCACACTGTCCTGTTTTTTGATATTTGTCTTTTGGCTTTTTGGGGGGCCCACTACCCAACTCCCAAATAAATCACACGTGGAAACTTATTTTTTAGTTATTAGATGCCTGGCCTTCGGTTGGCTTCTTTCTCGCCTGGTTTTCTTAAATTATCCTGTCTACCTTTTGCCTCTGGGCTTTTATCTTTCTTCTGTACATCTTCCTTTCCCTCTTACTCCGTGGCTAGCCGGGTGTCTGGGTAACTGGCCCCTGACATCCTCCTCTCCTTGTTCTCTCATTGTTCCTCATTTTTCGCCTCGTTTCTCCTTTTATACTCTCTCCCTGCTAGCCCCGCCTATCCTTGCTTCTGCCTTGCTATTGGCCATTCAGCTCTTTATTAGAATCATCGAGTGTTTTAGACAGGCAAAGAATCACAGCTCCACAGCTAACCAAATACAGCATGAACAAAAGTAGCGCACCTGAAAATGATCCTGCCCAGCACTGGCCCCTCTCCCCCAAGGCTTCCTGATGTTCTTACGTATGCCAGTGTGTGGTTCTGAAGTAGTTAGAGCCTCATCAGCTTGAACGCCACAAGCTCCAGATGCTAGGATTTCTCGTGGGGATGGATAGACATTTATTTTGGCACCATTGTTTCAACCTGATTAGCTACATACATGTACATACATGTAGCACTGAGGGCTCGTTTCTGAGATGAGATCGTTCGTTAAGCCTCGTTCGAGATTTCTCACTAAGGCAGTTCCCAGAGGCCTCGTCGAGGACTGTGAACTGAGTCAGGGTGACTACCGCCAGCTGTCGTCATTTGGCGTCACTCTCTCCTGAGTGCCTGGAATGCGCTTGATGCTGGAGATACGATGGGGACGATGGCTCAGTGAGCTCCGCCTCGTAGGGTGTGGCTGGAGGGCCACCAGATTTAGGGATGGTGTGGGTTAACTATGTTTATCTGTAAGTGATGAAACGCTTTCTTAAAACCATCTTCTATTGAAGCATTTCAGGAGCACTCTTTCCTCTGTCATTGTGCGTGGCTGACACTCTGTATAGCCTCCTCCTTGGGGTCTTAAACATCAGACAATAGGGCTGGAGAGGTGGCTCAGTGGTTAAGAGCATCGCCTGCTCTTCCAGAGGTCCTGAGTTCGAGTCCCGGTAACCACATGGTGGCTCACAACCATCTGTAATGGGGTCTGGTGCCCTCTTCTGGCCTGCAGGCATACATGCAGGCAGAATACTGAGAATACTGTACACATAATAAATAAATAAATATTTAAAAAAAAAAGAAAATAAGAAAAAAAAACAAAAAACATCAGACAATAATTTTCCCCTTTCATTTCTAGTTATTTAATTATTTTAATATATACTTACCATATGATTTTTAAAAACACCTTTAATTTTGTGTCTGAGTATTTTACCTGCATGTATATGTGTACCACATGTGTGCCTGATGCCCAGGGAGGTCAGAAGAGGTCCTCAGATCCCCTGGAACCGGATTTACAGATGGTTGTGAGCCACCTTGTGGGTGCTGGGAACTTGAACCTGGGTCCTCTGCAAGAACAACTGCTCTCCCAGCCTTATGTTTTATATATATATATAAAAACATGGTGCTCGGTGGTGGTGGCGGTGGTGGCGCACACCTTTAATCCCAGCACTCGGGGCAGAGGAAGGAGGATCTGTGTGAGTTGAAGGCCAGACTGGTCTACAGAGTGAGTCCCTGTCTTGAAAAACCAAAGCCAGACGAACAGAAAGCATGTATACGTTATAGAATGGTAAATCAAGTTATTTACTGGATGAGATACTGATCACAGTTACCATGTTTATGTGAGAGCATTTAAAGTTTCGCTCAGTGTTTAAAGTTACATTCGCTTGTTTACCGTGCGTGTGTTGTACTGCACATGTGTGCTCACGTGTACCTGCCACAGCACACACATGTGTGCTCACGTGTACCTGCCACAGCACACACATGTGTGCACACGTGTACCTGCCACAGCACACACATGTGGTGTGCACACGTGTACCCGCCACAGCACGCACATGTGTGCACACGTGTACCTGCCACAGCACGCACATGTGTGCACACGTGTACCTGCCACAGCACGCACATGTGGTGCGCACACGTGTACCCGCCACAGCACGCACATGTGTGCACACGTGTACCCGCCACAGCACGCACATGTGGTGTGCACACGTGTACCTGCCACAGCACGCACATGTGGTGTGCTCATGTGTACCTGCCACAGCACGCACATGTGGTGTGCACACGTGTACCTGCCACAGCACGCACATGTGTGCACACGTGTACCCGCCACAGCACGCACATGTGGTGTGCTCACGTGTACCCGCCACAGCACGCACATGTGGTGTGCTCACGTGTACCCGCCACAGCACGCACATGTGGTGTGCACACGTGTACCTGCCACAGCATGCACATGTGTGCACACACGTGTACCTGCCACAGCACGCACATGTGGTGTGCTCACGTGTACCTGCCACAGCACGCACATGTGTGCACACGTGTACCCGCCACAGCACGCACATGTGTGCACACGTGTACCTGCCACAGCACGCACATGTGTGCACACACGTGTACCCGCCACAGCACGCACATGTGGTGCGCACACGTGTACCCGCCACAGCACGCACATGTGTGCACACGTGTACCTGCCACAGCACGCACATGTGTGCACACACGTGTACCTGCCACAGCACGCACATGTGGTGCGCACACGTGTACCCGCCACAGCACGCACATGTGTGCACACACGTGTACCCGCCACAGCACGCACATGGAGGACAGATTGCAGGAGTCAGTTCGCTCCTTGCACCACCTGGGGTCTGGGCTTCAAGCTCGCATCGGGCTTGGCAGCAGGCATCTTTACCCGCTGAGCCCTCTTGCCTTGGCTGACTTCTTGGCTATTTTAAAATAGATAATACATTATTTATTGCAGTCATTAGATAGATGATTTCTTGAATGTGCGGTATAATTTATGTTACTACCTTTTTAAAAGAGCAGTGAAAGAGAAAGGCATTTTAATCCAAAGTCCCTACTTGCCTTAAGGCAGGATTCTAAGCATCTATTATGCTTCCCATGGGTTGTTATTATCTATGTAATTTTTTAAATAAATTGCACTGATATATAACATAATACACATTATAATTTAGCACCAAGTTTAAAACCTCTTTCCAGGCATTTTGAAGGGCTGGGCCTGAACAAAACAAGAGCTGGTGATTTCTTTTTCTTTCCTGCCTTTACCTAGCAGTTTGGCAGAGAAGCCTGAGGTCTGGGCATTTGTTGCCTAGAAGGTTGTAGCTGAAGCTCGAGCTATCAAAGCTCGGTGACCTCGGCTGAGAGGAAGGACAGCAGCCCAGACTGAGGCTGCGGTGCTGGCTGAACCAGGCAGAGAGGATGGCACTCTAGGCTTCCCACTTTCACTAGAGGTTTCAAACCGTTGGCTTTTGTTCAAAACCGGTTTCTACCTGTTCTCACCCCTTCTGTTGACTGTTTACTTTAGAACATTGTCTAGGCGTCTGCAGTTGACTGACTGGGTAAAGGAAAGCTCCAGGCCATTCTTCAGCCAGCTCTTCCCGTCTTCTCCCCCTGCTTCCTCTTTTGAACTCTTCCTTCCCTTTTTCCTCCCTCACTCCCTCCTTTCGTTCCTTCCATCTTTTTTGTTGGTTTTTTCAATACAGGGTTTCTCTGGCTATCTTGGAACTCTGTAGACCAAACCAACCTCGAATTCACAGAGATCCACCTGCCTCTGCCTCCTGAGTGCTGGGATTGAAGGCGTGCGTGCCATCACTGCCCAGCTTTCTTTTTATCTTACCCATTTTGGTGTTTTGCTTGCATATATGTTAATATATCACATCTGTGCCTGGTGCCTAAGGAGGCCAAAGACTGCAGCAGGTCACCTCAATCTGGAGTTATAGCCAATCATGGTCCACTATGTGGGTGCTGGGAACTGAACTGGAGCCCTCTGCAGGAGCAGCCAGTGCTCTTACCAACTGAGTCAGCCTTCCAGCTCCCTTTTTTCTTTTTAAACTTAAATTTTACTGGAGTTATATTTAGTACATATAAGATTCATTAGAGAAATTTCTCATTACTGAAAATGAGAAGCTGGAGAAAGTCAGTCATGATATAAGATGTGTGTGTGTGTGTGTGTGTGTGTGTGTGAGAGAGAGAGAGAGAGAAAGAGAGAGAGAGAGAGAGAGAGAGAGAGAGAAACAGGGTCTCAATGTGTAGCCCTAGCTAGCCTGGAACACACTGTTTATACCAGGCTAGTATTGAACTCACAGACATTCACTGCTGCTGTCTGCTGAGTGCTGGGATTAAAGGTGTACACCACAGTACATGATTTGTCCATTTTTTTGGTGAGTGCATAAATTTCTTCATTTCCATAGGTCTGATTACTTCTTTAAAAATATTGCAGTAAAATGTAGATAACACGAACCTGACCCTTTTTATTCCTCAGTGCCCCATTTAGAATGGAACTGATTTCCTTTTAAGGGGAAGGGTGCTTTTCTTCTCTTGCATCTTCAGCTTTTCCTTCTACACTGGGAGTGAAGACCCTGCTACATTCACAGCTAATTTGGTGCCCTCCTGTGTGGCTCTAGACCCTGGTCTTTTGTCCCTTCCCCCTCCTCTTAAAGCCCAGTCAGCCCATCCATATCCATGGCATCCGTATTAACCAACAACTATAGATCAGATATATGTTTTTAAGTTAAATGTATGTTACATGCATGTGTGACCTTTCTTGTCGCTCTTGCTGAAGTAACCATTAACACGGTGTTTACATTACCTAATATGTAATTTAGAGGGGATGTAAAGCTTACAGGACAGTGTGCTTGGGTTGTATGTGCAGGCAGATACTGTTCTTTAGAAGATGCTGAGTTCAGTTGACCGGCTTTGGACCTGCAGGGTCCTTGAACCAGTCTCCACCCATGCCAAGGGAAGACTTCATAGTATAGCTTTCGTAGCTAATTGCTAATTGCTGCTGTGCCGGTGAGTGCCCAGAGGATAGTGGAGGCCCAAAGCTGCTATAAATACTTTTAGCGGAAATTGTACAAATTGTTCATTGTCTCACTTTACAGCTTTAGTCTCCCATTCTCTTCTTTTTCCCTTTTCTAACAGACTGTCGTGTTTGCCAGGCTAGCCTAGAACTTCCTGTGTAACTGGGGATGATCTTGGAACTCTGCATACACCAGCACGCCCAACTCAAATGTTTTATGTTTTGTTCTGTGGTTCCAGACGTTGAACCCAGACCCTGAAACATGCTATGAAGTTCTCTTGTCAAATGAACCTTCCTTTTTCTTTATGGAGATTTTTTGTTTGTTTGTTTTGTTGTTTGGGAGCTCACTCTGTAGACCAGGCTGGCCCTAAACTCACAGAGATCCTCCTGCTTCTGCCTCCCAAGTGCTGGGGTTAAAGGCCTGTGCCACCACTGCCTGGCTTTTTTTAATGAAGATTTTTAACTCCATGTAGGGGAGAAAAAAACAGTTGCATGATCTTTGGCACATAGTATCATAATGACTTTCTCATGTCTTTCCTAAAAGCATTTGGAATTTTATTAAGTGTATGTAAGTGTGTTTGTATGTGTGTACAGACAGGTGTACACCATGACATTTATGGATGTTGAGAACAGCTCTCAGGAGTCAGGTTCTCTCTGCCACCTCATGAGATCCAGGACTGAACTCAAGCCATAACACCTGTGCACAAGTGCATCTACCGGCTGAGCCATCTTGCTAAACCTCATTTGCAATTTTTAATGAAGCCAAAAGAGATATTTTAATATAGACCACGTAGACTGAACCAGAGATTTTGATTGCTTTGGTCAGAGACTAGGACTGAGGATGCTTTGGGGGATGATGCATAGTTTTGACTCCTTCTGGCTGCTTTCCGGTGCTTTCCCGCTCATGTGCCTCCATTCTGTTCCAGGTGCTCCACTGCCCAATTCAGGCAATGAGCAGCATTCCTCGGCCTCCATCTTCGAGCATGTTGACAGGATTTCCCGATCCTCAGAGGCCAGCCGGCGGGTCCCCAGTAAGATCCAGCTCATAGCCATGCAGCCCATCCCAGCACCACCAGTGCAGCACCCTGTGCTGGCCGACCGAGTAGCAGAAACCAACAAAATCAACAAGGAGGTATTCAATGTTAACAAATCGAATTAATAAAAAAGTCCGCGTCCTGATTCTGTCAGGCTAGAACAATGAGTGAAAGGCCCACTGTCAAACAGCTGCTCCCTAATTCAAAACGCTACAAGCTGGGCATGGTGTTTTAGGCCTGTAATCCCAGCACCCTGGAGGCCGAGACAGAAGAGTCACTCTGGGACTACATCGCTTGGGCTGCACTGTAATGCCCTGTCTCAGAATCAGAAAACAAAACAAGCAAGAAATCACATACACACGCATGCACACACCCTGTATTTAATTTTTAATGTCTTATTTATTCTTTGAAAATCTGGTACATTCCTACAATGTACCTCCCACCAATTCTCCCCAGACCCCCTATCATATCTCCCTCCCAGCTTCTTGTTGTCTTATCATCATCATCATTATTATTAGTAATAAGCCCCATCCCCTAGGCACGGGCAACCTAGCAGTAGCCACATCCTCAAAAGAAAAAGTGTCGCTTCCCTGCTTAGACATCATCTGCCCGTCGCTCCTGTATTAGTGTCCCCCGGAGCCCTCCTGCACACTTGATTCTTTTCAGCCTTCAACACTGGTCAGGGACAGTGATGGATCCTGACAAGATTAGGAGAAGAGTGTTAAAACAGCCCTGAGAAGGCCTTGCTCTCTGCCTCAGCCACCCAGGCTCGTGAACGCTGGGGTTAGCCTGCAGATGGTCAGCCTCCTCTAAGCTAGCGATCGTCAGTGAGTGACGGGCTCTCTGCCGCTTGGTGTGGACAGTGCCCGGTCTCTGGAGGAAGTGTCTCCCCGAACCCAAGCCAGCACCCTGAATGATTGTTCTTACTGCCCACCGCCTGCACTTAGATCCAGTCTGCTCTGCGCCACAAGTCGGAGATTGAACACCACCGCAACAAGATCCGACTGCGCGCCAAACGCCGAGGCCACTACGAGTTCCCGGTGGTGGATGACCTGTCTTCCGGCGACACCAAGGAGCGACACCGAGTGTACCGCAGGGCTCAAATGCAGATCGACAAGATCCTGGATCCCGCAGCTAGTGTACCCTCTGTGTTCATAGAACCCAGGAAGAGGTGAGCTGGGGCCCCAGGGATGTGGTGGTCAGGCAGACTAGACACGGGCGGGATGGAGATGGGCCAATGACAGAAATCCTGGTCATATCCAGGTGACGGTCTGTGACTGTGAATTGAAGAGGTTTCTGTAGAGGTTGTGTAGGCCTGCAGGAAGTGGAGAAGCGGGGAGGAAGGGGTTCCTAATCTCCACATCCAGTGCTAGCCCCAATTGCTTCCTCGGTCTAATCAAACTGTGTACCTGTCTTTCTTTGTACAGCCAGCTTGTCCCCTGCCCCATTGGCTCATCCATCCCCCTTCTTACTCTTTACTTGTCTCCATCACAAGGTAGTGTGGCAAGCCAGCCTCCATGTTTGTTTTCTCACAGCTTCCTGCAGTCTTTGGCCCCACCTTCCCATTGGTCAGCCCCTGCCCCATCTTGTCCATGTGTCTTCTGTAAACACCCTGGGGCTGAAATCGCTCAATGGTCCAGAGCTGCAGCTGCTCTTCCAGAGGACCTAAATTGGATTCAGATTTCAGATTAGGGATGTTCAACCTTCATACATACGTACACACATACATGCATACGTATGTGTACCTTGCAACCATTTGTAACTCCAGTCCAGGGAGATCCGATGCTCTTTCCTGGCAACACACCTACACTCCAAGAAATAAATACAACATTAAGCTTGTCTTTCTGTGCTCGAACCTGTACCTCTGAGGTGGGTGAGACCGTCCTCTATTTCGGTTCTGTCTGCGGCCAGCTACACAGAGCTATAATTGCAGTGGATAGCCCTGTCATCTTGCCCCCAGATTCACCTGCAGCCATTTCTGGCCCTCAGCCTGCTGGGCTGGCACTGCTTAGGCTGTTCTCATGTCCCCTCCTCAGCTTCAGATCTGGTCACCCCCTCAGGTCACCTGTGGGGTATTAATAGCTCTTGGCCGGGCCTGCCACTTTGTGACCGACTATGTCTCTAAATGATGTCTTGAGTACAGACTGCTCTGTTGAAGGCGTAAGTCACAAACAATGCCACACCAGTTTGGAATTATGATTAATAGGGTGGTATTTCTTTAAAGGGGAAAAAACTTACAGATAACCGTCCCAGACAACAGCCCTCTGCGCAATCAGGAAGGAGTGTAGTCTGCCCCGGAAACGGAGCAGGAAGTGAAGAGAGCGAGAAGGGAAGTAGCCGCTTTTTTAAAGGGAGAGAGACCACGCCCCAATGGGCTGGTATCTCAGCGGCTATACCTCCCGCAACACTCTGTTGTCTATCTGATAGTTCAGTCTCGTCCATAGGGCCCAGGTGTGGCTGTGACCAGACTGTGGCTGTCACTTTGTCAGAATCCCTGACTCCTTTCCTAAGTGGCCAGCCCATCATAGGCATTCCGAAAACATTGCTGTTAAGTTGATAAGCCAGTAGCTAACAGGTTTATTTCCTGTGAAGATAATTTCTGTTTCTTTTTTTTCCCTAATAGCTCACGGATAAAACGTTCTCCTAAGCCACGCCGGAAACACCAGGTCAACGGCTGTCCTGCTGATGCCGAGAAGGACAGGCTCATCACCACAGACAGTGATGGCACATACAAGCGGCCTCCGGGTGTGCACAACTCTGCCTATATTGGATGCCCAGTGCGTAACCCCGAACCCTTGGGAACCAGGGTGGGAGTTACCAAGAGGGTGCCTTGATAGGAGGGGAGGGTGTATCGTACTGGCTGCTGCCCTGTGCACAGTGGATACCAGGGGCAGCAGGTCGTAGCACACAGGGTAGATGGACTTGGGCACCAGCTAGCAGAACCCGAATCATATCAGCCTAGGAGCCGCTGGGTGACACCTTTGAGAGTGTGTCCCAGGCTTTCCTCTGTGATGACCAGTCTGCTTTCAGAAGGGGAGCTGCTTAGGGTTTATTGGAAGAACAAGAATGTCCAGGTTGCCTCTTTCTGCTCAGGGTTTTCATTTGCTTTTTTGGTTGGTTAGTTGGGTTGTTTGTTTGTTGTTTTATTTTTTGATATTTCCTATTTTGTCTGCACACCTCCACACTCACATAGAATGAATTACTCAGCTGAGTCTTTATCCAAAATGTCAGGACCACACTGCTTCAGATACTGGATATGTTGGAATGTACATGCACACTTTACCAGTTGAGCCTCCTGATAGGCAAGTCTGCAACTTGAAGTGTTCAAAGTCCCTAACTGAGCATCATGTCAGAGCTCAAAAAGTTTCTGATTTCAGATTAGGGATGTTCAACCTTCAAACATACGTACACACATACATGCATACGTATAATTTTCGTGGCCATAAAGAGCTCAGTGGAAATCAAAGAATGAAAACCCTTTTTTTCAAATGGAAATGGACACAGCGTGGCTTGAAGTGATAAAGGCAGACATTGATACATGATGACATGCACACACAGGCTCCATTGAAGAGGAAACCTCGCTTCTCAAGGGACCATTGGCAAGAGACACAAAGATGCCCTGGGAAAGAGAGGGAGAATCCAAAGGACACAGTTCACTGGCCGCAGGGGGAGTGTAAAGACTCAGCCCTGCTGTGCCTAGCAAACTGAGAGAGCAAGCTTTGTTTGTGTGACCTTAGCAGCAGAGCTGTGTCCTCAGAGATGGCAGTGTGATAGTTACCGCCCCAGGGCACTCAAGTTTATTGGAGGCTTCCACTTTTTCCCTCAATGACATGAACCTGCTCTGGAGGGTTCTTGTGAGCTAGAGCTGCTAATAATAGGTGCCACTGTCAAAGTCTCGCTCTGAGTGCGGTGCTCCCCGGGAGGAGTTGAGTAGTTTCTCACCCTGATAGGGGAGGACTCACACACACACACACACACACACACACACACACCCTACCTGATTTTCTTGCAACAGATGGGCATTCCTGTCCTGCTGGAGATTTTGGGAAGGTCTAGAAAAACTGTCCTCGTAGGCCTTCCATATAGTCACCAGGTGCTTTTGTGGAACTAGTCATAGGAGAAGAAACAACATTCCCCTCCCTTCCCCCACAACCTTTCCTGGTCAGCCCAGGCTCGCCCTCCCAAGGGAGCCTGTCGGAGATCCTTGTTTTCCAGCCCTTGAGTTCCATCCTCCTGTTGAATTCTGTGTAGGGAGCGATGTGTCTTTCCCTCATTCATCTTCATTGATGACCAACTGTCAGGCTCCCCTTGTGGTGTCCTGGACCCTCCTTTTGGGTTTAACTTAATTTGGGGGAACAACAATCCTAGTTCCAGCAAGCTTCCAAGTGCCGGGACTGCAGGCAGAGGCCATGCTCCTGGCTTGGACCTTCCTTTCTTTTCTCTGTTTTCGTCTTTCACAGGAAGTGCAGGGTTCCTCCAAGAGATGGTGGCAAGAGCCTTCCTGGAACCTCCTTGGACTTTAGGACTGCCTTTCCAAAGATCCCCTGCTCAGAAAATCCTTTCCATATTTGCTTAACTTTTGATTCTGCCTAAAATTCTGTGATGTCTGTTTCAAAAATAACGCCTTTCTCAGAACTCACCTTCCCCAACTAGATTTTTACCTTCAAGAGCATATGTGTGTTACACAGTTTTAAATTATCTGGAATTTTCCACTTCCTCTCAAACTAAGTTCTCCTTGAGGGCTGCCCCTCCAGAACCCTCAACCCCTTCTAGCCTGTCTCTACTCTAGTTTGGGCTTGGGCCTGGAAGACTTCTGTCCTTGGACCACATCCAGCCACTGCTGTTTAGGTCAACACTGGCCTTTTTTTATAAGGATAGCCACGCCCTTGCTTTCCTGCTGTCTTTGGCTGCTTTTTGAGGTGCGTTGTAACAGACTTTTATGACTTGCAGAACCTAAAATATTTATTGTCTGGCTCTTGACTAAAAGTTTTTGTTGGCACCAGGCCTGCTGGTGCCCATCCGTAGGCCCAGCTGCGGCCGGGCGGCTTCTGGATCCCAAGAGTTTGGAGGTAGAGAGATCCTATCTCATTAAAACAACAACAGCAACAAAACACTACAAGTTTGTTGACCCCCAAACCAGATGCTCTTGGAAGAGAAAGGCGGTGCTATTAATGATTAAACCAGGGCAGCAGGCACAAACCTAAACCCAGACGTGAGGTTGCTTGTTCAGAGCCCACTAAGGATTGTGAAATAGCCAGCATAGGGCCTGACCCACGATGCTAGAAGAGCACTCCATGTTTGCGTCCGAAGAACAACAGGGGCAGGAACCTGCTGTAAAACGCGGTCCTCTGGGCACGACATGGCCATTGCCGTTTTGCCATCAGAGCCATTGTGTTTATCCTGAAGCAGGCGAGGGAGCGCATGAGGAGGCCCAGAAAACCCAAAGCTCCTCCCCTCTGGAGAACGGATAAGGGTTAATAATTGCCAGGATGGCACAGCTGTCTGTCAGTTGCCCATGCCCCTCTAAGCCTCACTTCTCATCAAGTCACCCCAGTGAAACTCATTGGCTACACTGGAGTAGAACTGGGGGTTTGGTGCCCTCTCTGGGGTACGTTGGTGTTTGTTCATGTCTGAACCAACCAGCCCTGAATCATAACGGGCTCAGCAGACTAGAGTTCAACAGAATAGAATTTAAATTCTCAGCCAAGCAAGCGCCTTAGGAAATCTTAACGTTATGACTCTCAGGTTTTCATTGTTGAGTTCTGTCTCCATGTGGAGCGCTGTGCTAGAAGATGGGGTGCGGGCAAGAGAACTCTCGACTTCCAGATTCTGACGGTAGAGGCTGAGGCGTGAAGAGGCAGCGGGGAGACAGAATGGGAAGCTCTCCTTTCGGGTTTCCAGTAGGATTCCTGTGTTGGAGATCCCAAAGGAACCACCCTCCCCACCGTCAGAACCTGTCTGTCCTGCTCCAAAAGTTAAACTCTCTCCCTCTCCCTCTCCCTCTCTCTCCCCTTTTAAAAGTATGACCACTGAGGATGAGATGGGAAGGGCCTAGAGGGCTGGGGCTCTGGAGTACAGGTGAGCACCTTCCACTGGGATCTGAGTGCTCAGTGTGTATGCGTGTGCACGCATGCACGCACACACAGTAAAATAAAATAAATCTTGAGCTGGACATGGCGGCACACACCTTTAATTCAAGCACTGCAGAGGCAAAGGCAGGTGGATCTCTAAGTTTATGGCCAGCCTGGGCTGCATAGGAAGTTTCAGGCCAGTCAGGGCTACATGGTAAGATCCTTCTCAATAAATAAAATGAAAAGGAAGAAAGTTTGAAAAAAAAAAAAGCCATGCAGTTTCTCTGATTCTTGCTTCTTCTTTTTTTTTTTTTTGGTTTTTCGAGACAGGGTTTCTCTGTGGCGCTTTGGAGCCTGTCCTGGAACTAGCTCTGTAGACCAGGCTGGTCTCGAACTCACAGAGATCCGCCTGCCTCTGCCTCCCGAGTGCTGGGATTAAAGGCGTGCGCCACCACCGCCCGGCTTGATTCTTGCTTCTTAAACTATGGGTACAGGACGTTAAACTTTAGATACCTTACCTCCAATACCTCCACTTTAGAGATGTAATTCCCAAATATTCGTCACTGTTTACCTTGGTGAGCCGTTTTTAAACTGTTATTTGAATTACCTACACACAGAGAGGGTGTTTTCTGACTGTTGATAGTCGGCTCCTCCTGTTGGTTTTCACACCCATGGAAAGTTGACTGGATTTGTGTAGTGTGCACACTTTGAAGTGTGAAGCGTGGCTGCCTAGGCTCTCGGGGAAGATGTCTCCCTCCAGGTTCTGCAGTCCATCTCACACAGTTGAGTTTTACAGAAAAGAAGTTGAAGAGTTGAATAGTCCCACTTGGTTTTTCTCCACCTAAAGTCTTTGTCTTCCACAAAATGTGATACATATTATGTAGATGAACCCTTTCCCACGCAGCGGGACCACTGTTAAATTCCCCTTTGTGCCAGGATTTTGTTTCACGCTCTGCCCCACCCCACGGAAGCATGCATGTCACTCTCCTCCTTGCCTCCCGTGCAGTCTGATCCTGATCTCCCGGCTGACGTGCACACGCCATCCTCTGCTGAGCTGAGCAGGTATCCAGGCCTGCCCTTCTCGGCCTCGCAGTATATCCCACCCCAGCCGTCCATCGAGGAGGCCCGCCAGACAATGCACTCCCTCCTGGATGACGCCTTTGCCCTCGTGGCTCCCAGCAGCCAGCCTACCAATCCCGTGGGAGCCAGTCCCGGGGTGCCAGCCAGCCTGCCTGTGAACAGCACCCCTTCCAGGGAAGAGAGGCGAGCCACGCAGTGGGGGTCTTTCTACAGTCCAGCCCAGACGGCCAACAACCCCTGCAGCGTAAGTACTGGCCTCCTGGAATTCTCTTCAGGGCATGGTGCTTGAATTTTGTTTCCTAACTGTGGCACTTGAAGGTGGTCTTCTTAGTTTGATCTACTACAATTAATTCTTAGTGTTGGAAGCATCCTTTCGTGTGGGAGGGATGCTGGTGGTGATAAGGAGCATCTTCCCAACTACATTATGGGGTCACGAAGGGGAGATGCATTGTCAGGATGTGTTCTCGTTGATTCTGTAAAGGGATCAGCATAGAAACTACTCGAATTGTTTAACTTGTTATTGGACCACCTGGTCCTGGAGATGTCCCAAAAGGCTGGGAGGGCAGAGCTGCTAGTTCAAGCACAACCATTTGCAATGTCAGCTTTCATTTGTCTTTGTTGTCATAATTTATACTTATTATATCTTGTCCGCTTCTGTCACATTCTTCTCTGTATGCAGGTGTGAGTGTGCATGCGTGGGTGGGGATGGGGTTGGTGCTGGTTCGTGAGTGGGTGTATGTGTAGTGGGGGATGGGGTTGGTGCTGGTTCGTGAGTGGGTATATGTGTAGTAGGGAATGGGGTTGGTGCTGGTTCTCGTGTGGGTGTATGTGTAGTGGGGGATGGGGTTGGTGCTGGTTCGTGAGGGGGTGTATGTGTAGTGGGGGATGGGGTTGGTGCTGGTTCGTGAGGGGGTGTATGTGTAGTGGGGGATGGGGTTGGTGCTGGTTCGTGAGGGGGTACCTGTAGGTGCACCAACATGTAGAGACCGGAGGTCAGGCTCAGGTGCTGTTCCTTAGGAGCTGTCCATTTTGGTGAGGTGGGTGGGTCTTTCTCTCAAACTTCTCAGTTCTTCCAGGCTGGTTGGCCAGTAAGCCAAAGGGATCCTCTTCCTGCTCCAGCTCCCCAGCACTGGGGTTATAAATGCGTGCTGGATTATGATGTGGATGTTGGGGTCCAACTCAGGGTCCTCCAACCTGGACAGCAAGTGATTTACTGACTGAGCCACCCCCCACCACAGATTATCTTTAAGAGAGGACATACAAGTCACACTCACGGAAACGGCACACTCACGGAAATCACACTCACACTGAGGACATACAAGTCACACTCATGGAACTGGCACTCACACTGAGGACATACAAGTCACACTCACGGAAATCACATCACACTGAGGACATACAAGTCACACTCATGGAAACGACACACTCACGGAAATCACATCACACTGAGGACATACAAGTCACACTCACGGAAATAGTACTCATACTACTTCCTACTACTTTCAGATGAAATGATTGCACTAACTGCATTGTCACCTATTAACTCCGGAGGAAGGTTAATAGGTGACAATGTAAATTCACTGGTTGGGTTTTTCCGATTTTTTCTTTTTAAACCCATGGTAAAGTAATCCTGAGGGTGTCTATCTGTCTCTCCAGAAATGTGTGTGTGTGCATATGTATGTGTATGTATGGAATCTTTATCTCTGAGGTTCGTGGGATTTTCTTCATCACAAGAGATGCAGAATTCCTCAGTGTGGGCAGCTGATGTCACGTGGGAGAAATAGCCATCTAGTTGTTAACTGTTCTTACTACTAAACATAGCTTTCCAGTGATAAATATTAAACTACTTCTGAACACGTGAGACAAGGGATTCGTATCTGGATAGTCAGCTAGGTGTGGTGGAGCATGCCTTTAATCTCGGTAGATCCGGGCAGGTCAGTGTGAGTTCAAACTAGCTTGGTCTCCATAGTGACTTCTAGCACAGCCAGAGCTACATAGCGAGACCCTGTCTGAAGGGAGGGAAGAACAGCTGGACAGACAGGGGGACACAAACGCTGGGGTGGATGTGGGGAGACAGGAACCCTTATCTGTGATGGGAATGGAAACTGACGTGGCCACCGTGGCGGCTCCTCGGTCCTGAAGTGTTGCACGGTTCACGTGGCTACTGAACGGAACCAGCCTGCGTGCCTGTCAGCTGGTGGACAAATGAAGATGTGCGCATAGGAAACGGGACTTTATCCAGATGTAAAGAACAGTAGTGACCTCCGTGGGAACATGGATAGAGCCAGAGGTCATTATGTTAAGCAAATAAGCCAGCCTTAGGAAGATAAATAGCATGCTTTCTCATGTGTGTAGAATCTAGGTTTATATGTTTATGTATATGTAGAGCGTGGACGTAGAACGGGACCGTGAGGGGCAGGAAGAGGTCCCAAGAGAAGGGGAGAGTGGAATGCAGGTGACACGAAAGCAGGGCAGAGGCTGTTTGAGGGGAGGAAGGGCTGGAAGCAACAGAAAGGAACAAAGTGTAATGACACATAGGCATGAAATGCCACCGTGAAATCCCACTCCTTCCTTCCTTCCTTCCTTCCTTCCTTCCTTTCTCCCTCCCTCCCTCCCTCCCTCCCTCCCTCCTTCCCTTCTTCCTTCCCTTTGTCTTAATGGTTTTTCAAGACAGGATTTCCCTCTGTAGCCCTGGCTGTCCTGGAACTTACTCTGTAGACCAGGCTAGCCTCAGACTCAGAGATCCGCCTGCCTCTGTCTCCCTAATGCTGGGGTTAAAGGCATGCTCCACCACCACCCAGCTTGAAATCCACTACTTTCTGTGCTAACAAAGATTTTAACCCAATAAACTATGGGAATGTTGTCCAGTGAAAAGAAAGAAGACAAACAGTTTGACCGTTGCTTTTAACTTACTGCTGGGAGTTGTGCTCCGATCTGGCATTGTGCCAGACCAGTGATCTGCCACTGGGCTAGGCTACATCCCTAGCCCAGATTGCGTATGGATCTGGCAGTGGTGAGCGTTAAATCCAGGCCCTTGTCCAGGCCAGGCGTGGAGGTACTCTTTGACACTGTCCGCAGCCAGGCAGCTTCTTTTTTTTTTTAATATTTATTTATTTATTATGTATACAATATTCTGTCTGTGTGCATGTCTGCAGGCCAGAAGAGGGCACCAGACCTCTTTACAGATGGTTGTGAGCCACCATGTGGTTGCCGGGAATTGAACTCAGGACCTTTGGAAGAGCAGGCAATGCTGTTAACCGCTGAGCCATCTCTCCAGCCCCAGGCAGCTTCTTACTAAGTCAATTAGATCCTGCCTAGATGAACCAGCCATCCATTTGCTCCGTTTTTACAGAAGAAACGAAAGCGATCCTTTTCCGTCGGAAGCCTTTAATGTCCTAGCAGCCTGAGTCTCCCAGTTTTAAATTTTTGGTTCTAAAAATTGGCTCCAATAGCACCAGAATAATTCCAAGACTTGTCAATGGGATGGTGTGAAATGAAAAAGGCTTAAACATAGTCAAGGAAGCAGTCAGTAGTGTGCTCAGTCAGCTTATGGGAGGGGAGACAGTCTGTCAGTTAGACATGGTGGCTCACAGCTGTCTGTAACTCCAGTTCTAGGGGACCCAATGCCGCCTTCTGGCCCTGCCGACACGACATAGATGTACTGACAGATGTTCATGCAGGCGAAACACCCTTACACATAAAGTATAAAATAAAATTAAGTCAATCAATTGAAAAACTTGCATTATTGCTTTCTGGTGGAGGACCCCGGTTACATGCTAAGCTATAATAAGAAAACAGTTCTTCCCTGGCGCTGAGCGCGTACCTTTAATCCTAGTGGTCAGATGGTAGAGGAAAGTGGATTTCTGTGAGTTTGAGGCTAGCCTGGTCTACATAGTGAGTTCCAAGACAGCCAGGGCTGTTTAGAGACCCTATCTCAAAGCAAAAATCAACAACAGACAAAGCAGAAACAGTCCTTGCTAGGTGTGGCAGTATACTCCTTTAATCCCAGCACTCAGGAGGAAGAGACAGGCAGATTTCTTGAGTTTGGGACTAGCCTGCACTACATACTAAGGTCTGGGCTAGCTAAGGCAGCATAGTGAAACACTCCTCAATAACAACATAACAATAATAATATTCCTGAAAGTTGACCTAAGTTTCTAAGCTTGCTATTGTCATTTTATGAGTATTAATATTTATTTTTGTGTTCTTTTCCATTTCCCCCAGAGATATGAGGACTATGGAATGACTCCCCCATCAGGCCCATTACCAAGGTAAGCTTTCCAGGAGAAATCCTATCCTGGCTTTCTCAGGCAGCTGATTTTTTTTCCAGTTTTACAAACATATTTTTTACTTAATTTGAACAGTTATCAAACTCTGGGTTGTGTATTTTCTTGATCTAACCAGAAGAGTAAACTGTTGGAATTTGGGAAGTTGTTCAGTGGTCAAAATGCTTATTGCACAAATGTTAGAACTTGGACAGGCAAGATGGCTCAGTGGATAAAGGTGCTTGCCACCAAGCTTGCCTACCTGATTTCAGTCACAGGGACCCTCATGGTAGGAGGAAGAGAACTGACTCCAGCAAGCTGCCCTCTGATCTCACATGTGCTGTAGCACATGGTCACACATAGCTACACACGCACATGATGCTGGATTTAAGTTCTGCCTCTGTATGAGAGATGGGGAAGGGACTTGAGATCCAGAAAAGGATGATTAACAAGAACAAGGACCTTGTGAAAATGGAAATATTAAGGACAATTTTACTCGTGAACAAAGGTAGAAAGAATATGAAACCAGATATTTACAAATATGAAGCAATACATGAAAAGGATATCATATTATAACCAATCTGGGGGTTAGCAACATAAGGGTGACTTAGCATGTTAAAAAACCAAGCCACGAAATGTCCTCCTTCGGAGAGGACAAAGGGGGGAAATGCCACTTGAGTAGATCAGCATTTGATGAGACTACGTCGGTTTGTGCTTAGAGTTTCACCAAATGAAACCTAGAGGAGAGGGATTTTGGCAGTGAGCTCTGAGCCTGCCCAGCTCACCCGAGTTGACAATATTTGTGAGCAAGAAGTTATTTTTAAAATCAGGTGGTGAAAAACCTTTAAAAAGGTAGTGAGGGGGCTAGAGATGGCTCAACAGTTAAGGCACCTATTGTTCTTGCAAAGGATCAGGGTTTGGGTCCCAGGGCCCACGTGACTGACAACCACCTGTAACTCCAGTGTTGGGGACCCAGTGCCGTCTTCTGGTGTCCAAGTTTGCACATGACACACATACATACATGTAGGTGAATTACTCATGCACATGAAATTAAATAAACCTAAACAATTTGTTTTTGGTTTCCGAGACAGGGTTTCTCTGTAGCTTTGGAATCTGTCCTGGAACTAACTCTATAGACCAGGCTGTCCTCAAACTCACAGAGATCCACCTGCCTCTGCCTCCCAAGTGCTGGAATTAAAGGCATGTGTGCCACCACTGCCCAACAACAAAATTTTTTAAGTCAGATAGTAACAGACATGTCCAGGAAGACGTATCTGTCTTCCTACTCAAGCGAAAATTAGGCATTGTTACTTTCTATCTACACTTGCGAATTTGACAGTGTCTGAGCACCTACAGGCTTTTCTGGATGAACTTTTTCTTACTATTGTGAAATTAGGAGTGTCCCTATCCATTCTTTATAATTTGCATTTTCCCAATGATGGTTGTCATAAGACAGAACAGTGGATTTTAATGGGACAGAGTGTGGGAAGTTCCTCCAGAGTCCTGTGGCAGATTCCACGGTGTTTTGGTGTGGAATCAAGATAGTCAGAGTATTTCCTGGTAGATGGTTAGGGTCCCCCTTTCTTCTCTAAGAACATCCTCTGTAAGGACAGATCCTCCTAAAGTAACACACGTCAGATGACATATCACATACACGGAAAACTCCTAAAGTAACACACGTCAGATGACATATCACATACACGGAAACTCCTAAAGTAACACACGTCAGATGACATATCACATACACGGAAAACTCCTAAAGTAACACACGTCAGATGACATATCACATACACGGAAAACTCCTAAAGTAACACACGTCAGATGACATATCGCATACATGGGAAACTCCTAAAGTAACACACGTCAGATGATATATCATATACATGGGAAACTGCTGTTTGGAGGAATTTTGATTTTCACTTTTTAAAAAAATATCTACAGTTAAGCTGCTATCACTGGGCTTTTATAGAAATACAAATGTACATGTGCAACTACATAATTTGGATTTTTATGTGCTGTCCACTTTTGGGGGAGGGTATCCCTAGCTTAACGTGTTGACTTTACATTGTACAAAAACCAACATTCATGTTGGTCCAGACATATCAAACTTAACTCCCCCCCCCCCATTTATACAGGGATGATACACTGTGTTAAATATGTAAGCGCTTTCCTACATGGGTTTGATTACAGAAACGAATAGAGTATTCTCTAGATAAATGAAAGCATGCATGAGAATCTAGAGGTCCTCTGTGAGGGCACTTGAGTCAAATCTCAGGCACCGCTCCACTAATTGGGAGGTGAGTGGTTGGGCGGATGGTTTGGTTCATGCGGATTGTTGTGCTAGCGTGTAATAGGCTTGTGTTTTTAATAGACTTTTAAAGTAAGTGTTCTTAAATGTTCTTAGTTTTAACTCACATTCAAGCTAATATTTATGGATGGAGCCCCCATGAAAGCTCTTAGGAACCCTCAGTAATGTTTTTTGTCCCCCTAAGTTTAAAGTGGTTCAGAACTTTAAAAGTTTGAGAACACTTCTTAAACTGGTGTTCAGTCTTGACGGAAAAGCAAGGTTGCCTGTGGAGTTTCTCTTTTGAAAACAAAATCCCAAAAGCAAGCATCAAACAACTTATGTCTGGGTTGCATCTTTCTGGGGTGCAGCATGGGAAGCCAGAGTGAAAAGTGAGGCTCCAGTCACGCCTCCCCTCTCCTCTACCCTTCTTTTCCTTCCCTTCCCCTCCCCTTTCTTCTCATGGAAGTCTTGCAGACTTAGTACTGAGGTAGGGCCCTGAACTAAGAGAGAATGCCCTATATTCTAGTGGAGGAGAGGGAATTACACGAAGCCATCTTAATCCCTGTAGAGGGCGCTAGCTTAAAATTCCAGAGTCAGGAAAGGGGTATTGATACGGGGTGTGCTCTCCCAGCAGACCGAGCTTCGGCCCAGGGTTGCTGCCGTCTTCAGAGTTGGTCCCCCCTGAGCCCCCACAGCCACAGTCATCAGCTGACGCTCCATTTGCTGCCCGAGGGATCTACTCGGAGGAGATGCCGTCCGTGGCCCGGCCTCGGCCTGTTGGGGGCACCACAGGTAGGTACAGTGACTGAACTTGCTTCTCTGCATAGTAGGATGCTTGCGGCCAAGCCAGCTGGCCCACTAGCTCGTATCTCTCCCTTCCGTCTCTCCCTGAGAATGCTGGGATTACAGATGTGTGCTTCCTCCTCTGGTTTTTTTAAATAGATGTTGGGACTCCAGCTCAGGTGGTCAGGATTATGCACCAAGAACCTTTGCCTGCTGAGCAATCTCCGGTATCCTACAGCTATACTTTATGATCTGCTCCTTTGATTGGCCCGCCAGAGGTGTAAGCGGAACAGCTGTGAGACCCTTCAGTGGGGTTTACTATAGCAGTTCACCCAGGCTTCAGACTTTTGCTCCCCTAAATCACTTTTATAGCTTTCCAGCTCGTGAAGAACCAGTGAGGACTGTTTGTGAATGCGTCCTGTTTCCAGCGTCTGAGCTGCTTGAGATCACGGCCCTTCCTGGCCTCGTCTTGTTGCTTATATATTTTGCAAAGTCACCTTAGTATGTTTTAAGCCTATTCACTCTGTTGCCCTCCCTGGTCCTTCCCTCTCCCTCCTCTGGGAAGCCAGACTGAAGTTTCTCTCTACAGAATACATATACACTTCTAAGATGTCTTCAAGAAAGTAGTTTAGGCATTTCCAAAATTTTCAGTGTTTGCTAAATGTCTTAGTCAAAGTTCTATTGCTGTGAAGAGACACCATGGCCATGGTGTGGTTGTTTCTTATAAAGGAAAACATTTAATGGGGGGTGGCTTATGGTTCAGAGGTTTAGTCCATTATCATCACAGCAGCATGCATATGTGCTAACCTAATCATATGTATTAATTTTTAGTTTTTTAAAAAAAAGCATGAACTTAGAAGTTGTGTCAAATGTTCAACTACAATCTGTCTTCTGATAATTTCTAATGAGATGAAATTATGTAATTTTTTTCTAAGACAGTCTCTCTGTAAAACCACTCTGGCTGTTCTAGAACTAGCTCTGTAGACCAGGCTGGCCCTGAACTAACAGAGATCCTCCTGCCTCTGCCTTCCAAGTGCTACAATTAAAGGTGTGCGCCACCATTGCCCAGCTAGAAATTGTGTAAATGTATTTAATGAAAATGTTGCTATCTATTGGAAGAACTTTTTTTTAAGATTTATTTATTTTTATTTGGTGTGTATGGGTGTTTTTCCTGTGCGTCTGTCTGTGGACATTGTGCAGTGACTGAGGAGGCCAGAAGAGGGTGTTGGGTCTTGTGAACTTGGAATTACAAAGGGATGTGAGCCACTTTGTGTGTACTAGGAAATGAACCCAGGTTTTCTGAGTGAGTGGTTAGTACTCTTAACTGCTGAGCCATCTCCAGCTCCTAGAAATACTTTCTAATTGTAGAAAATTACCAAATGTGGGGCTGGGGAATAGCTCAGTTCCTAATGTACCTCCCTGGTGTACACAAGGCCATTCCTCAAATCTATGTAACCATGGATGTTGGTACACATATGTTGTCCCAGCACTAGGAAGGTGGAGGTAGGAAGATCAATTCACAATTACTCTTGACTGAGTAGTGGATTCAAGGCCAGCCTGGGCTACATGAGACCTTTTCTTAACAACAACAAACTATCAAATGTATGTTTTTAAAAATTACCAGAAGCCAGGTGTGATATCCTACACCTTTAATTCTAGCCCTTGGAAGTCAGAAGCAGGCAGATCTCTGTTAGTTAAAGACCAGTCTGGTTTACAGATGAGTTCCAGGACAACCAGAGCTACATAGAGACCTTGTCTCAAAAGATAAGCAAAAGAAAAATAATGAAAATCTGTAAGAGATTATGAGAAAGAGGCTCATTGTAGAGGATTGATTCTAAAACTTGACAAGGCCAGGTGGTGGCGGCGCATGCCTTTAATTCCAGCACTCAGGAGGCAGAGACAGGTAAATCTGAGTATCTCAGTGAGTTTGAGGCCATCCTGGTCTACAAAGCGAGTTCCAGAACAGCCAGGGCTGTTAGACAGAGAAACCCTGTCTCAAATAACCAAACCAAACCAAACAAAACAAGATGACAAGAAGGGAACCTTCAGAAGACATAAGCAAAGAACAGGAAGAAATAATTCACAGAAGTGTAAGGGTGTGTACATGTGTGTGTGTGCGTGTGCATATGTTTGTGTGTGTATGTGTGTGTTTGCTCTATAAAAGAACTAAGAAGATAGCCTGGTTTCGAAATTAAACTAGAGAAGTATAGATTAAATTTGACTAAAAAAAAAACAGCCATGAAATTATATTCATAAAAATGTGATTTTCAGTGGTGGCGCATGCCTTTAATCCCAGCATGAGGATGACAAAGGCAGGCGGATCTCTGAGTTCGAGGTCAGCCTGGTCTACAGAGTGAGTTCCAGAACAGCCAGGGCTACCCAGAGAAACCCTGTCTTGATAAACAAACAAACAAAGAATGTGGTGATTAAATTTACGTCCAGCTTTTTCATCTGGTGCTGAGTCCCTAGGTTGTTGGGAGTGTTTAACAGATGACAAGTGTCCAAGCAGCGCTTGGTGTGGTCACACGTCAGCTGCATTGTTGGTGTTCTTCTGGATTGCGGCTGCTGGTGGCTGTTTGAGTCACTGTTCTCATTGCTAGTCGTAAGCAACTTGAGGAAGGCTTTGTTTTGCCTCGCGTGGAGGGTTCATCTTGGCAGGGAAGGCAAGGTGGCAGGAGTGGGGGGGGGCTGGGTCGCAGGAAGCAGAATCATGTCGTGAGGGCTTTTGGGGATCAGTTTGGAGGTAGGACTCATGAGCTTTTGAGGGTTTTTTGTTTTGTTTTTCTTGGAATACACAGTCTCCCTGCACCCAAATCCAAAATATTGAGGGGAAAATGACATGCGCCAAGATGTTTAGCACATCATTATTCAGAGCATGAAGAATAAGAGGGATGTTACCTTCTTGGGTACCCAGTGAGTAAATCATGCGGCTACTTAGTCATCTTATTTTATTTCTCTCTATGTTGGTCTGGCTGTCTTGGAACTCACCATATAACCAGGCTGGCCCTCAAACTCACAGAGATCCACCTGCCTCTGCCTCCTGAGTGCCCGGATTATAGCTGTGTGCCGCCATATCTGGCAATGTGCAGCTATTTAAAATAAAGAGATCAAGAAAGGCTTGAAATGATTTAAGACCCTCCCGTTGCCTCCTACATGTTTGGTGCTTGATCTGCCTTGTATCTCCTGTTTCTTGAAATATCCCTCCCTGCTGACCAAAGATGTGAGGAACTGAGGCCCAGCAGGGGCAAGAGCCCTCTCTGGAGGACAATGGAAGACAAGGGCTTGTCAGCTGTGGGGATCCGCCAGGCTCTAAGCCCAGTCGGCTGGAAGCCTGCACTGTTTTGTTAAGGGATCAAAGCAATAGTCAAAGTCGGAGCTACGTTGGGATTTTAGCCACTGTGTGTCTTAACACAAAAGGTACGCTGTAATCCCTTCCTGGGTCACATCTGTAACCTCTAAAGATGAGCTCAGCCCGTGTCTGTGGAGCCGCCAGTGCCGGCGTTGGTGGATGATTTTCTCCTGCGGCAGTCTTTGTTTGCAGACCGGGGCTCACGTGGAACTCATTGCCCTGGCTGAGACCCAGACTTTTTCCCCTGATCATCAGTTATTGCCGTATGTCCAAATAGAACCATTAAAGAGTTCCTTTTAAAATGTAGTCTGTTAGCTGAGGGTAACTGGACAGGATGACAATGGGCCAAATGGAGAGGCCGCACGACCCCAAGCTCCCCCAGAGAGCTTCTGTGCCATGGATAAACTCGATGATCCTAGGAGTGTTTAGAACTGTGTACTGTATTTCACAGCGCTCGGGTTGTAGGAGCTGGGATGTAGCTCACTGGCTGGTAGAGAGAGCACTTACCTAGCAGATACAAGATCCTGGACTCGGTCCTTCACGCCACCAGAAAATACAACAAAGATTCTTTTCTTGCTTGATTGCATTGTAAGGGTGTTTCCATGTGCCAGGTGCTGACGAGAGAGAGAGAGAGAGAGAGAGAGAGAGAGAGAGAGAGACAGAGAGAGAGACAGAGAGAGAGAGAGACAGAGAGAGAGACAGAGAGAGAGGGGAGAGAGACTCGGCTTGTGTGCACACCCAAGCTGATGTCTGGGTGTGAGGAATTAGCGAGCTTGGCCTTGCCTTCACCGCCTCTTGCCCATAAGCTAGCGAGCGGGGTTGCTTGTGCTGTGGCTGTTGTTGGAACCATACAGTGTAAGTTCAGTGTTCTGGATTGAAGTAATTTTATCACCTGCTTTTTAAGGAAAAAAAAAAAAAAAGCACATCAAGCATTCGGGTCTTTGTGAATCTCAACTTTTTACAAGCAGGAAGGTGCCAGGCTTCAGCTTTACAGCCTCAAAGCACTTTGCCCCTTTCCAGTCACCTTCTGTGATCCCTCATCCCCACACATCTGATGGCGGCAGCGGTGGGTTAGGAGCCTTGTGTCAGCATCATGTGCAGGGGAAGGAAAGCCGCCCTCCCGCCTGCTTTCTTAGGAAACGACCCTTCTGGAGATGTTTGAGATCAGCACAGGGTTTGAAAAACACGTGCCTTTCCCTCTCCTTGAAGAAGCCCGTGGGCAGAGCTGAAGGTGTGCTCGGCAGCCTCCCTTTGATGTGCTGTGGACGCTGACCTGGTCGCTGCTGTGTTCCTTCCAGGTTCCCAGATCCAGCACCTGACACAGGTGGGAATCGCAAGCAGAATTGGGGTCCAGCCCGTGGAAATTCCTCCTGGCAGAGGCAGCCAGTATGGGGGACCAGGCTGGCCTGTGTACGGGGAGGAGGAGGCAGGGCGAAGAGAAGCCGTGAGTACCTGGGGCTTGGACATCCACTGGGGCTCACATGGTCGCTCTGTTTTTAAACGCTGTGCTAACTGCGGCTCCCACCTCTTCGCTCCTCTTGCCTTAACTTGGTTGGGCTTGCAGTTTGGTAAACTCCCTTCCACATGTGGCTTGGCTGTGATTCTCCTTGAGACAGGTTTCAGGTTTCAAGTTGTGGATCTGAATACAATCCAGACTTCTTCTCTGGTGTGGTCACTGTAGCGTTTCACACTCTTGCCTTCTCTGTACCCCTACAGTGCTGATGGCACTCCCACCTTGACCAGCATCTGGGATGGTTTTGCATTAAGTGCCTGACTTGGGGCATTTCAAGGCATCCGTCATTCTTTGGGTTTCTAGCTGCTCAGGCTGAGCACCATTAATCTCTGCCAGGACTTTTCTTATTTTCTCGAGAATTTTATGGGTCTGGAGAGCTCATCAGTGGCTAAGATTGCTGTTCAATCAGGAGGACCAGAACCCATGTCCAGTAGCTCTCCAGCTGGACATAAGTTTGGCTCCAATGGATCTGATGCCCTCTTCTGGCCTCACTGGGAACACAGTGACACACACACACACACACACACACAAACACACACTGACATATGTGCAGGCACACACAGAGACACACAAACACAAATAAAGAAAATAACTATTTTTTTAAAGAATTTTCTATCTTCACATAAGCAATCTGATTTTGAGAATGCAAACTTGAAAATGCTTTTGTTCTCATTGCTGTTACCTTCTTGGTGGCCATGGTAACATTATTGGCCATATTAAATTCCTCTCATAGTTAGAAGTTTGTTTGTTTTGTTTGTTTGTTTGAGACAGGGTTTCACTGTGTGGACACGGCTACCTTGCTGGGACTAACAGCGTGCACTACCACTGCCCAGCCAATCAGAAGCTTTTACTTGGTGAAAGGAAGCTTAACTCTAAGAGTGTGGTTTTCCACTAAAAGACTTTTACTAGACTTAATAGCCTCAGGCGTTTGCTTAAAGTGTTCTGTGCTCGGCTTCATTTTATGAAGTACTGTGGGCTTTCTGCTAGGTCCGGCAGTGTTCGCTTGAAGTACCTCTCATCACGGTGTGGGGACGTGAGAAGTGGAAATAGTCAGGGCCAGAAGGCCGTGTTTGCCCCACATTTAGAACACTGAGCTAGTGTACTGGCCTGCACACTGATTTAGTGAAAACATGTATGCTGATTGACCTATAATTTAGTGCACTGACCTGTGATTTAGCATACCGAGCTGTACAGTGATGGAGTTCACTGACCTGTGATTTAGCATACCGAACTGTACACTGATGGAGTTCACTAATCTGAGATCCTTATTTTTTTTAACTGCAAAAAAAGAAAAATAGTCACTGAAAAATATAATCGTTCTTACCAAAATAATGCCAAATCCATCGATAGTCTGCCGTATCAGAAAAACCAAATGTCTTCTAGTAAAAATAGCCTACTTTTTCTTTCTTTTTTTTTTCTTTTTTTTTTTTGAGACAGGGTTTCTCTGTGGTTTTGGAGCCTGTCCTGGAACTAGCTCTTGTAGACCAGGCTGTGAGTCTCGAACTCACAGAGATCCGCCTGCCTCTGCCTCCCGAGTGCTGGGATTAAAGGCCTGCGCCACCACCGCCCGGCTTAAAATAGCCTACTTTTTAAAAAGGTTCTAAGAGCGCATGACAGAGAACTGTTGGCTAAGGCGGAGGAGGAGGGTGGGTGTGAGGAACTTGCCTGTGATCTCAGCAATTGAGGAGTGGAGGTTAGAAAGTGATGGGGCCTACGGATAAGAACACTGACTCAAAAACAGAAGAGACGGGAAATGACCTGGTGGTTGGCCTTAGCCTTGAGGTCCCAGTATGTTCTTATGTATACTCTCTGGGCGCCAGAACAGAGGCATGGATTCTCATTGTGCCCTTTTAGTGGTTCCTTAGCTGCCTCCACTCTGGGATGTCACCCTATGTAGGTTTCCCCCACTTTTCCTTTCAAACTCCTAGTCTTTCTCTGTTCTCCCCAAGAAGCCCTGGAGCAGCTCCTGTCTGTACCCACTCACCCCACACTCAGCACACAGGGACTTGGGTGGCAGGGGTCACGCTGGAGAGCGGAGGGAGTTGGTGGGAGATGGGAGAACAGCTTGGCATCCCTGGACCACTGGAGAGTGGAGGGAGTTGGTGGGAGATGGGAGGAGGACGGCTTAGCATCCCTGGACCACTGGAGAGTGGAGGGAGTTGGTGGGAGATGGGAGGAGGACGGCTTAGCATCCCTGGACCACTGGAGAGTGGAGGGAGTTGGTGGGAGATGGGAGGAGGACGGCTTAGCATCCCTGGACCACTGGAGAGCAGAGGGTATTGGTGGGAGATGGGAGGGCGGCTTAGCATCCCTGGACCAGTGTCAATTTGCTTCTTCTTTTGTTTCCGCAGGGAAAGTGTAATAACATTTACCATGTCTTTCAGACCCACATGCTCGGACATCAAGAGTATTCTTCTTCACCGCTGTTTCAGGTGCCAAGGACTTCGGGCAGGGAGCCCTCAGCTCCTCCCGGGAACCTCGCCCACCGAGGACTTCAGGGCCCCGGGCTGGGTTACCCTACCAGCTCCACAGAGGACCTCCAGCCTGGCCATTCCTCCGCCTCCCTCATCAAAGCGATCCGCGAGGAGCTCCTGCGGCTCTCCCAGAAACAGGGCTCAGTACAGAACTTCCACAGCTGATCAGCCTCCCTTGCAGGTTTGCCAAGTATCTGCTTCCTGTGGAAGCAAGACCAAAAGGAAATCAACTGAGTGGGTGTTTGTAAGAGTCGGAAGCAGCATCTCCGGGCAAACCGCCCGAGGAATGGAAGAAGTTGCGATTGTAGAAGATGCCAGAAAGACAACTCATGGTTCTTCGCCGAGTTAGCAATTTGGTGGCCACTTGGATTCAGTCAAGAAGTGTGTACTTTGGGCTAAGAGCCAGCTCTTCACACGCACACACACACACACACACACACACACACACACACATACACATGAAAGAGAGAGAGAAACCAAAACCCAGACCTAAACTAACAAAAATGTGTTAGTCTCTTCTTTCAAAGGCAAAAGATTAAAACCTATAGGTTTGGTTAGGGATGGAGGGGGCAGCGTTCCCATGGGAGTCTGACCCAACACACCCGCTGCTCTGCTTCCTGAGAAGAGAGATTTCAAGACATTTTAGTCACAGCTTGGTCCCTCTTTTCCTCCGTGGGAACTTATTTAATAGCAACGTTAACAACAAGACACCCTGAGACTGTTTGGTAATCTAAAACGCTACTGGTGAGAAACCTAGTGACGGGTTGTGGAGCCTGGTGATTCCAGACAAAGCCATCGCCTGTGTTCTTTCTCCTTCTTCTGGTGCTACAGCTCCGAGGGCCCTTCACCTTTCTGTCTGTGAGATTCCACTGTGGCTTTTGCCGTAGGAGAGTATGATGGCGGTTTTGTTGTGTTCTGGGGGTGGGGGGAAGAAAAGGAAAAAGGAACTGCGTTGGGGAGGGGGAAGCTTAATATTTATTTGGTTATTCAAAATACATATCAGAGTTTAGATTTCCGGTCTTAGTTGTATTTGCTGTTTATTCGTTGGGCTCGCCAGCCCTTGGTGACATGGTGGCGCATCTTGTCCATCCTACAGAACGAGACTGTTGGGTGTCCTCGCTGCCAGGTCTTGGCAGCTTGCTTACAGTTTGCTCACAGATTATGTTTGAATGAGAAGTCTTACGGAAGCAGACATTGTTTTCAGTGATTCTCGGGACCGCCCGATTGTCCTGAGTCTACCCTTACTAGTCAGGTTCCCTGAGCTCCAGCCTGGAAGTGGGCTTATGTTCCTATCGGCTCCGTAATGACCGAAGAAATACAGGGTTTTGAGACTACAAAGGAAATGGAAGCTCCCCCATTTCTGATCTTGCTATTATTTTTTTTTTTTTGCCCCAAAACTGTCTTACTCTGGGTCAGAGAGAGGTCATCTCACAGGTCACTCCTGAAGTCAGGGCACTCAGCCTCTGACATTATTCTCAATGGCATTCTGTATTCTGGTGCCCAAGTGAGACTCTGGGACATTGCAGACTAACGGGAGTCCCACCCCGAGCCTCTTCATCACAACAGATAATGGGGTCGAGTTTGGGGTGGGGAGGGTTGGCCTAATCAGAACCTGTATGTCTGGGCAAGGTTTAAGAACACGAGAACAGCTTGAACAAGCTCCCAGGCCGTGTGCCTGGTGGCAGAATTATTTCTGCCCTTCTTAGTCAATCTCAGGACACACAGTTGGTCCAGCCAGTGCTTATGTGCACACTTCAGATGAGAGAGCGTGCAGGAGGGGGCCCACACTCATCTTCAGGTGGCCCGCAGTCTACAGAGCATAGGGAGGAGACCCTGTTCTGGGTTTATTTGTTAATCCTGGTTTAGTAGATCCTCCTCTTCCCAAGCCACTCAAAAGTACAAGTCTCAAGTATTCAGGCAGAATTTTATGATGACACCTTGTGAGAAATTCAGATCCTACAACACAGAATAAATGGCCCTTTCTCACCCAGCGTCTTGAGTGTTTTGGACACTGAGCATCCTAAGAATGATCATCTCCTTTGTACACTGCTAAAATAAGCCTCGGTGTCAGAGGATGTGGTGACAACAGCAATTTCGATGCCTTTGAAATTACAATAAAGGGATTCTACCTGTGTTTTTATTCTTAGAGCAGATACACCTTTCAGCGGGTGTCACAACCAAAGGTGGGGTGTAGTTTGTCACGCTGACCTTTTGGGAGCTCCCGCGCTCGGTTGTTGGTTATGGAAAGCACACTCAGTTTACACTCCTTTCCCCTAAACACCTGCCGCGGCAGGTTTACCACACTTGAACTGCTGTGGGATATGCCAGGCCACGGGTGTCCGGTCACTCATCCAGTGTGCTCCCCTGAAGATGGTCGTCCTGTTCAACGTGGGTAATTTTGGTGTTCCACATATAAAGCACCCCAAAATAAAAGTTAAGTTTAATATCTGTCCTTTGCTCCTAATTTTACGAGTTCTGTTGAGAAACACAAACTTGCTGTAAGTCTGAGACAGCATTTTAGGACAGTGTGCTTGGAGACGTGCTTTTTGGAAGTCTCCTTTGTTACTAATCCCTTGTGTCCGGTTCCTTTGGAATGTCATTCCTGTTTACCCCCCCCCCCCCCCACGCACACCTCATAGGATCTGCTTCTCAGGATCAAGTGTGATTCTGCCTGCAAATGCCCCTTGAGGAGGGAGCCTCCGTCACTGTGGACATGAAAGATGTCATCTGTGTGAATGTTCTGGCGTGGATGGTGTGTTACGCTGTGATCTGCCAGTATCTGGGTTCACATGTAGGCAGTCAGACCCACACTGAGAGCCCAGCGTGACCCCTCTCACTGCTGGTGTGCTTCAGAGTGACCACTTTCTCTGTTGACTCCAAAGGTTCCCCCGAAGCATCCTTTTTTTGCTCCTGACTTTCTGCAGTTTCTGATACTATGTAGGTCAGCAGACATGATCCCTGTCTTCTGAGGGAGCTGAGACTCTAATCTGGATAGTGCAGATAGTTATAAAAGCTGGACGCTCCAGATAAGCAGCGTGGGCTAGATATCCATAGCATGCAAAGGACACAGGTGTGTTGGGTATTTAGAAGTCATCGAAGTCACATGTTTGGGGTTGATGAGATCTTAGGGGAGAAGTCAACTGTGGAAGCCACTTTGATGTTACTCAAGCCAGTAATGGTATGGCAGGGGGTAAGTCCCACAGTTGTCCTGGGAAAAGGTTTAAAAATTGGGTACTCTAAGCCAGGTGGTGGCGCTTGCCTTTAATCCCAGCACTTGGGAAGCAGAGACAGATCTCTGTGAGTTCGAGGATAGTCTGGTCTACAGAGTGAGTTCCAGGACAGGCTCCAAAGACACAGAGAAACCCTGTCTCAAAAAAATAAAAAGGAAGAGAGAAAGAAGAAGAATTGGGTACTTACTCTGTCGCCGAAAGTGACCTCGCTCTTGAGCTGAGATAGCGTGAACACTCAATCCTTAACTGCACTGTATGAGACGTTTCAGAAGAGGAAGCAGAGTGAGGAAACCAGTCTGGTAAGGCAGCAAGCAAATGGCCAGGCTGGTGAGGCTCTGCCTCGCTAGGAAGAGCGGCGTGGGAAGGGAGATCAGAGTTCAAGAACTGTTGATGTCTGGTCTAAAGTAAGTCAGTGGTGTTGACACGGACCCTTAGCTTGTGACGGATCTCGATGGCCCTCTGTGGTCTTTAGCAGGTTGTGGATAAGTACATCTGGTTTTACACCACCATGTTTTCCTCCAGTTTTCATTTCACTTCCGAGCGTGTGTTGATTTTGATGCACAATGACTTTTAAGCAGTTGGGTTTTGGCCAAGCGGAATTTTTGAAGACAGGAGGCCTGTGACCCAAAGCGCGCCCAGGTCTCGTATGCCTGGAAGGCTTCCGGCTGAAACCAGCAAACCCCTGTTTTCTTGTCTACAATGTTTACTGCAGTTTCAGGTCTTGGTGAGTGCTCTAGACACCAAGCCAGTCCCCAGACACTAGTCTGTTTTGGGAGGACTTCACGAGTTAATCATTCGTTAGGCCTGCCTTGACCCCTTCACCCTGGATTCTTAGGTGGGAATGAATTAGACACTTGGACGAATGTTGGATCGAGGTTCTGGGCACAGGGCCGGGTGCTCCTGTCTTTACTAAGTTCACTGCTAGTGGAGTTTTTGCCCTGCCGTTTCTACCTCCAAAGCGAGGCTCCAGAGCTTGTCAGCAGAGCCTGCACCTCCACAGCTGGTCCAAGCAGGCGTAGGAGGAAGTCCACTTCGCCCGTGGGCACAAACAGGTCTGAATGGGACAGTCCCTGGAGCTTCGCCATTTAGTCCAGCCCTTTAGAGGCATTCCCGGAACAGGTGAGAGGGTTTCTGTGGGCCTCTGTTTTAACATTCTCATGGAACACATAGGCTTCTGCGCGTCACCTAGTAAACAAGAGCCTCGCACATTTCAGGTGTTTTGTTTTGAAGGGGAGGGGGCTGGAAGAGGGTGGTGATTGTGGGTGTTTAAGCTAGAATTCTTTTGTCCACGTTAAAAAGACTCGAAAACTGAACCATCGTGGTACAGTGTTAATTCACGCCCGGTGTGTGTAACAGGACACTGGACAATTAAGAACACACAGCAGCATTGTAGTGTAGAAAAGGAATAGTAAATGTCTTTGGGAACACGAATCGGTTAGGAACCAGCCAGGATACTCCTCCCAGGTCGGTGTCCCGCCCGGCAGGTCACATCCAGGCTCCTTTTTGCTTCCTTCCTCTGGGTTTCTCTGCTTCAGGGCCACTTCAGTGATTTACTTGGAGCATCACTGAGTCTTTTCTCACACCCTTAGATACCAAGTACTCATGACGCGGCTTGGGGATCATAGGGCTAAGCTAAAGCTAGACGCCCTGTTCTTCCCCCGTGCTAGGAAAAGAAGCAGGAGGTGCCAGAGGAGCCAAGGTTTCTGGTCCTTAATTCGGTCGTTCTGAGCCTATCAGGGAGTTGGTTCAGAAACGATTATAGAAAGGCTCTAAGTTCTGCTCTCCTCTTTGCAGAGCTCGCTGTAGAGTAGAGAGGAGCAGAGACGGGAGCTAGCCTTAGCAGGGAAGCTTGCTCTGCCTGGCTGCAGGGAGTCTGGCTTGCCTCCAGCTTGGTTGAGGTCGGTGCTAGCAGATGCGTGCTAATATACAAAACTGCAGAGCAAATTGGGCCACCTGTGGCATCAAGACTGCAACTTGACAATCATGGTTTGCTGATCTCAAACGGGCACTCAGATCTCAGTATGGGTGTGTAATTTGGCGATTGAGCCCGCCCTCCTATTTGTCGGTCACGTTTCTACCCTTCAATTAGCTGCACTGTTTTCTAATGTGCTGTAGAGTTTGGAAATAATTTATGCAGTGTTTGGTTCCCATGTTTACAATTTTTACAGCTTTCTTAGCATTTTAAATGGAAATGTCAATAAATGCTACGAATTGGTGTCGAAGCGTTTGGTTCATTCCTTTGCAACACAATTGTGTTATACTGTGTCAAACGTGGTTACGCGTGCTGAGGTGACCTTTTGTTCTTTTTGAGTGCCTGCTGAGAACTCGTTTCTAGTGTGGTTTTCCAGGGACTTCGGTCAACAGCATTCCACTCAGCTGAGCTGGCAGAATCGTCCCCACTTGCAGCCGTGGTGCCCTGTCCGCGTTACAGCTGCCCACTGGCCCAGCTGCTGCCCCTCTAAGCAGATTGGAAAGGATGCCATGGGTTAAAGGTGCAAACTAGAAGAGCAAAGTTGATTCCACCTTGAAAAGAGAATAGGGCACACTCTAGGGGATTTTTTTGGAAACTCAAGAAGATGAAACTCCCTGGCAACTCAAAGCAGAACAATTCAGAACACAGGGGAACCCAGCAACTAAGAAAGACATGGGATCCTGGGTAGCGTCCTGGGACCACAGACACGGAAATGCTGATGAAGTCCAGTCTGTAGATTTTCTATGTTGCCAGTTTTGTATAAAAGACCTCACTAGTAGGGGAGCTATAAAAAAAAAGATACAGAAAGCAAACAAAGTAGTGTAAACAAACTAATCTTGTCAGCTAGAGCCCATAGGGGATTGTCCTGGCTGTTGCAATCCTGCCCTAAGCATGCTAGTCCAGGACCTGCCACACTTCTTTGAGGGCATGGCTCCTATTCATGGTGAAGGAAGAGCTACCAGCTTCAAGACTCAAGAAAGAGACTCTGGAGAAAAATCCAGCCAGGTACAGTGGCACACACCTGTAATCCTGGCATTCCAGAGGCTGAGGCAGGAGCACCATGAGTTTGGGGCCAGTGCAGTCCACATAGTGAGATCCTGTCTCAAGAGTTTAGAGAGTTAATAGCTGAGTGTAGCATGCTTGGGAATATTGATTCAATTCTGAGCACTGCCAGATTAATAGTAATGATGATGATAACCAAAAGAAAATAGTAACCAACAGGCAACATTGGCCAATATGAAGAATCAAATAATTCTAAACATTAAAAAGAATATTTTTCTTTTCTTTCTTTTTTTTCTTTTGCTTGCTTTTTTTTTTTTTTTTTTTTTTTGAGACAGGGTTTCTCTGTGTAGCTATGGAGCCTGTCCTGGAACTAGCTGTGTGGATCAGGCTGGCCTCGAACTCACAGAGATCTGCCTGCCCCTACCTCCTGAGTGCTGGAGTTAAAGGCGTGTGCCACCATTGCCTGACAATAACCTTAATAGTGGGCCAGGGAGATGGCTCAGCACATCTGAAGGTGCAGGCTGTGCAAACATAAAGGCCCAAGTTCAGTCCCAGAACCCAAATAAGAAAGTTGGACGTGGTGACAGACATCTCATCCCAGCACTCCTGCGTCCTGGTGGGAGACAGAAATGGGACAGTCACCCTGAAGCTCTTAGGACGGGAGACCCTGCCTCAACAAGGAAGTTTCCACAGGTATGAGATGGCCAAGTGCGTGCCTGCATTCACACCCCCACCCATTAAATAATCAGCTTAAAATTTAAAGACTTGGCACCTTCCCCTAGGCCTGACCACATGGATCTGACCCCCAGAGATCATACAATAGAAAGAACTAAATCTTGTATGTTGTCCTTGGACCTCCTTGCTGTTGAATACACACACACACGTAATATTTTTTAAAAAAAAATAGATTTAAAAATCTAAAGCAGGTTTGGTGGTCCATGCCTTTAATCCAGCACACAGAAAGCAGAGGCAGGCTGTCAGCCTGGTCTACAGAGTGAATTCCAGGACATCCAGGGCTGTTACACAGAGAAACTCTTACTCAAACCCCTGTCCCAAATCTAATAGCAGGAATAGGACATTGTGAATGTTTAAACAAACCCTGACTCAAACCCCTGCCCCAAATCTATTAGCAGGAATAGGACATTGTGAATGTTTAAACAAACTTGAAAAAAATCTTACAAAGGAAAATAAGAATACACATGAATACGCAATGATTATATATTCCAATATAGCAGACAATTTTCATTAATAAATACTGGGCGTAGGTGTAGCTCAACATTAGTGTGCTTGCTTGGTATATGCAAGATCCTAAGTTTGACCCTTAGCACCACAATATTACAGATAGATAGATGATAGATAGATAGGTAGATAGATAGATAGATACATATAGAGAGATATTATACATATAAATACATATATAAATATACACAGATCTATATATCTGTGTAGATACCTCTGATATATCTATATATCTGTATATCATAATATGTTGTAATGAAGAGGGATTTTTTTTTTAAACAGCAGACATGCTATGGGAGCTGGTGGAATGTATTAATTACCAAGCCAGATTTTACCTGCTCTAAGTGTAAACAGGTCCAAAGTACCAGGAGGGCAGTCACTAGGAACAGCTTCAGCTTTGAAGGTCAGTCTGCTCCCACACCCAAGTGGTGGTCATTTCTTGCCCCTCCCTCTCCTGGTGTGTGCCTCCCTACCCAGCACAGCTTGAGGGGAGGCAGAAACAGGAGCAGGCCAGCTCCTGAGGGAGATCATTTACCAACACCTTGTTATTGCAAGTGCCCTGTTTGTCTAGTAACTTGATTCCTCGGTGGGTCTCCGCCGTTTTCTCAGCTCCCACGTCTGTCCGTTCAGGCCTGAATGCGGGTAGGGTGTGTTTGACTCCGCTGATGTCAAGATGGAAAGATCACAGAGGCAGGTCTGGGTGAACCACATTTGTGTAGCTACCGCTGTACTGTTTGTAGTGCTCACACTACCGCATAGCACCATGACAAACCAACCCTATTTAAAAGCTTACATGGTAGCAAGGGAGGGCCTGGGAGCAAAAATATTTGGATTGGGGTTCTGTGATGTGGTCATGAGACTCAATAAGTGGTTTCTTTCATTTAATATTTTAAAATTCTGAAGAAAACATTAGGGCAGAGTTTAAGGGGAAAGGAATTACAGCAGAAATGGGTTGGTGTGTTTCAGTCAAAGTAAGTAGGTTGTTTTTTTCTTGTCTGTTTGTTTTTTTATTTTTTTGTAGTTTATTTAACTTTTATTTTATGTGCATCAGTGTGAAGATGTCAGGTCCCCTGGAACTAGAGCTACCATGTGGGTGAGCTACCATGTGGGTGCTGGGAATTGAACCCGGGTCCTCTGGAAGAGCTGTCAGTGCTCTTAACCACTGAGCCATATCTTCAGCCCCGTGTCTGTTTTTTTGAGACAGGGTTTCTCTGTGTAGCTATGGAGCCTGTCCTGGAACTAGCTTTTATAGACCAGGCTGGCTTCAAACTCACAGAGATCTGCCTGCCTCTGCTTCCTGAGTGCTGGGATTAAGGGTGTGTGCCACCACTTAGTGGGTAGTTTTTTCAATGTTAGTTCTGTGCTATGGCCTTAAGCAGAAGCTAGATATGCTAATTTTAGCAGAATCCAAAGACCAGGCAAGATTTAGAACTTCAAAAGCTGTAAGAAGAGAATGCTCACTGCCTCAGTTTGAAGTCTGAGGACCACTAGCCCAGTGAAATGGCTCACTGGGTAAAGGAGCCTGCTGCCAGTCGGGCCTGAGGACCTGAGTTCCATCCCCAGCCCCACGTGGTGAAAGACCCTCCACAAGCATTGTCACCACAGACATACACAAAGATAAGTGAAATCTGGGGACCAGTGTGCTCATGTCACAGATATTATTAGTGAGACAAATCTGATTTACAAATTATCAGTAATGGGGAGCTGGAGAGATGGCTCAGAGGTTAAGAACACTGACTGCTCTTCCAGAGGTCCTGAGTTCAATTCCCAGCAACCACAAGGTGGCTCACAGCCATCTATAATGAGATCTGGTGCCCTCTTTTGGCATGCAAGCATACATGGAAGGAATGTTGTATACATAATAAATAAATAAATCTTTAAAAAATGATCAGTGATGTTAAACATTTTTGAGACACAACAAATTTAAATGAGATAGTCAACATATGAAACCGGTGATCTTTAATGGTGTTCTGTTTTGTTTTGCTTTGTTTTTTTGTTTTTTGTTTTTTTGGTTTTTGAGGCAAGGTTTCTCTTTGCAGCCCTGGCTGTCCTGGAGCTTGCTCTGTAGACCAGGCTGGTCTTGAACTCACAGATTCATCTGTCTCCGTCTCCTGAGCACTAGGATTGAAGGCGTGCACCACCACGGCCTGGCAATCTTTAACCGTTTTACCTTTTCTGACCCAAAGTCTACATGGCATTAATGAAGAAAACAAAAGCTACTATAACTACACTGAAGATGCCAGCATCAAAATTCTAGTAAATTTTAGGCTTTTAAAAAAGCTAGGTGGGGAATGGAGGGTTGTCTTAGTGGTTGGGAGCACTGAATGCTCTTGTAGAGGACTTAGACTCAGTTCCCTGCACCCATTTAGTGGCTGCCCACAAATCCAGTTTCAGGGAATCTAATGCCCTGCTTGACCTCTGAGGGAAGCAGGAACACAGGTGGTACACATATCTATGCAGACAACACTCACACACGTACAAATAAATACTTTTGTAGGTAAGAGCTAGAGAGATGGCTCAGTGGGCAAAGTGCTTGCTGTACATAAGGATCTGAGGTTGGGGCTCCTCACAGCCAGGTAAAACCCCAGGTGTGCATGTATGACCTATGACCCCTGCACTGGAAGGCATAAACAAGAGAATCCCAGGGGTCTGTGAGTGAGCTCAGGTTTCAGTGACTGTCTCAGAGAATAAGGAGCAATAGAGAAAATCACTCTCTGGCTCGTGTGTGTGCCCACGCGCGCACACACACACAGAGCTTATGCACGCATACACATAAGTAAATGCTGACCGTGTTAATGTTAAAAATGTTCTGTGATTGGGATTGTTCAGCACATTTTTCTTCCAAGCTGACTTCACACTAAGCCGTCCCTATCAACAATATGAATAAAGGTGTGGAGCAAATGAAGGGAAATAGCTGATGGCCACCTCTGGCCTCCACGTGGACCACCACACTAACAAGGACACATGTGTGACCTTCATGGTGTCTTGCTCACAGACCCTCCTCTCTCTTCCACATTCCCAGTGCTTTAAGAAAAGTCTCTGTCCTATGACTGGGATGTGGTAAATGTTCAGTAAATGCATTATGCATTCATCGAAGTATCGGTAGGATTTATATACAGTCTGGTGAGTTTTCGTGTGTCCTCATTGTACACAGTGATGGATCTTGTCGTGTGTAACCTCAGAACCTTGTAACCTCACCTTTCGACCTCCTTTAGTGTCAGGGTGGGTGAGCCTTAAAGGAATCCTGGGGCCTTTGAGAGGAAACAGCCCAGAAGGTCATTCGTTTTAACATTACGTTATTGTTTGATATTTGGGTTTTTTTTCCCTAATATGTAACGTTATCTAAATAGCAAAGTGTTGGAGGCAACTATTATTTTTCTAGAGTATCTCCCTGGATTTTGTTTGCTTTGTTTTTGTACCTTTTAATTAATTTTTTTTCAAGACAGGGTTTCTCTGTGTAGCCCTGACTGTCCTAAACTCAGTCTGTAGACCAGGCTGATCTCAAACTCAGAGATCTGCCTGCCTCTAGCTCCAGAGTGCTGGGATTAAAGGCATGTGCCACCACCAACTAGCAAATTATTTTTCTATTGGATCAGAAATTATTTGGCTGGCCCTTATGTAGACACATGTTTACTATACATAATTTTTCCTGGCCTCATTTTTAAATTGTTACATGTATCCCTAAGTGTGTGTGTGTGTGTGTGTGTGTGTGTGTGTACTAAGTCTGCTAAGTTTGTATGTTACTTGCATGTATTTTTTTCAGGGCTGACCATTTGGTATCGGATAACCAATCTGGGAGCTCATCCCTGGGGAAGGCCATTTCTCCAGCCTTCCCCATTCCTTAGTTGCCTGGAGGTCTTCTTCTAAGATTGAGGCCTCCTGGGCTTTCCCTCCTCCACAGTAGCAGGTCTATTGGTGTCTTGCTTGTTCGGGTCATATTTAGGTACCATGTTGATGAGACTTCCTGGAATTGCTTCCCTGTTGTTTCTAGGAGACATGATCTCCCAGGAGACTTCCAGTTCTGGCTCTCACAGTCTTTCCACCCCTTGTTCTGCAGTTCTTGGGCCAAAAGTATGGAGAGCTTCACAAACGCGTGTCATCCTCACACAAGGGCCGTGCTCGTCTTCCCGGAATTCAGTTGTAGGATATGTGCTGTGGAAGTGTGCACAGAGTATACATAATTTTTTTTTATTTTATTTTTTGAGACAGGATTTCTCTGTAGCTTTGACGCCTGTCCTGAAACTAGCTCTTATAGATCAGGCTGGACTCAAATCCACAGAGATCCACCTGCCTCTGTCTCCAGAGTGCTGGGATTAAAGGCGTGCACCACCACATGGGGCGAGTATACATACATTTTAAGAGGCATTTTATAATCATTTGCTGGCCACCAAACAGACAAGTCATAACTCTTGAGGTATAGCCTTGTGTAGGGTGGGGGAGGGGGAGGTAGAACCCAGTTGCCCCCAGTGCTGCTCTTAGTTTATTCTATGACTCACTGTATTATCCCTGTAGCCAAAGAAAAGAATCCTTTGGGTGGAAAGGGTCCGTTTTCATTTGTATATTAGTTACTTGTCAGTTTAAAAAGGGTTACTGTCTGTTGTGTGGGCTAGCATGGTGACAGAGTGGAGCAGTGGCCACACTGCACACTGTTTTTGTACCCCCATCCTCCTTGCTCCACTTTGCCATCTCTCTTTGTATGAGTTACTTTTTCTTTCCACTTATGTGTTTGGGTGCTTTGCCTGTGTGTACCATGTAAGTGTAGTGCCCAGGGATGTGAGAGGAAGGGGCCAGGTGCCCTGGAACTGGAGTTTCACATGGTTGTAAGTCACCATGTGGCTGCCAGGAATTAGCCAGTGCTCCAGTAACCTGTGACCTCTGTGGCTGGGACCAGACACCAGACAAGCCACTAAGGGGGGAAAGTTCTTTTGGCTCACACTTTGAGGCTACAACCATCCTGGCGAGGAAATCATGCAGAGGAGTGAGGCAGCTGGTTACATTATATCCACAGCAGAGAAGCGGGGAGGGGAGGGGAGAGAGAGAGCCTCAGTTTCCAGCACCCATGTGGTGGCTCAGCACCATCTGCAACTCCAGTTCCTGGGCATTCAGCATCATCTGCTGACCTCTGCAGGCACCAGGCACACACATGGTGCACAGACATGCAGGCAGGCAAAACACTCATAGAATGAGTAAATCTAGTAAAATAAAATCCAAATTGACCTAGTCAGCTCGCATCATCTCGGGTCTCATGGATTCCCGTAGATGCAGGTCAAAATTACATGTATGCATGACGTTAATGTCTGGTGAAGCACCTCTGGCATGTATGCATGACGTTAAATGTCATGTGTAGCGCCTCTGGGTGAAAAGGCATCAAATGTTGCCACCCTTTTCTCATCCCTAGGTGCGGATTTCCTTCTCTGCAGATGCATCCCGCCACACCCACTGTGTTCAGGGTTCACCTCTCCCAGTCCCTGTCCCTTGAGTCCTTTCTGGGGGAATTGCCCTCAGAAGGTTGGGGAATGAGAGCTGTGCTTGTTCCTGTTGATCTTGAACCTTCTAGTGACTTCTATCCAGAGAGACAGGTAAGAAGGCTGCCTCTCTGAATGCCTGGAGATGTTGGGGGCTCTGCTTGTCTCCCCGGAGATTCAGTTCTTACAGCAATTCATCGAATCTGGGAAATTGGTATCAAGACGTTTAAAAGAATTTAACAACCATTAAAAAACCTCTTCCTTGGGGGCTGGAGAGATGGCTCAGAGGTTAAGAGCATTGCCTGCTCTTCCAAAGGTCCTGAGTTCAATTCCCAGCAACCACATGGTGGCTCACAACCATCTGTAATGGGGTCTGGTCCCCTCTTCTGGCCTGCAGACATACACACAGACAGAATATTGTAAACATAATAAATAAATAAAATATTTTTTTAAAAAAAAAAAAAAACCTCTTCCTACCTGACCCATGTTTTCTGGTGTCTTAGAAAGTCAGAGTGGTCAGGAATGCATCAGCAAGGGTCTCGGGTCACTGTTTGGTGTATACCTCCATATTCAGCTTGGGAACCCGAAGCCCGTGTCTCTTTGCACACTTCCAAACCGAGCTGCGGCTTGTGCCCTATGGGTCAGTCCTGGTGGTCTCATTCTGCCCCAGAGTCATCATTTCAATCACGGCTCCCAGCCCTACCATGTCCTTAATGTACTGAAACATGGCACAATTTTGTACCTAGCACTGCATACCCAGGCTGCGTGTGGTGGTACATACCTACAATCCCAGACTGGCGGGGGTGGAGGGGAGGCAGGGGGATTGGAAGTTCAAGGCTAGCCTGGGCCATGAGAAACCAGTTCTCAGTTATATGTGGAGTTCACAGGCCAGCCTGGATTACAAGAGATTTTTGTCTCAAAAACAAAACAAAAAAATTAAACAGGCAAAACAAAGCTGCAGATGAAATCCGTAAGAGTGAGGCGGCTCACATGGGAAAGACAAGCCACGTGCCCACCACCTCCCACATAACAGTCCAAACTGCTGGGTGGGTTTTCTCGGCTCGAGTGTTAAACCACTGGCTGGATCTAATTCTTACATAAGAAAGTTGATACTTAGTAAAGTGATGTATTTCTGGTCACATCGGCCAGAATACTAAATCTCTCATCTTTTAAAAACAAGTACTTGAGCCTGGAGAGACTCAGCAGTCAAGAGCACTTGTTACTCTTGCAAAGGACCTGGGTTCAGTCCAGGCACGTACATGGTGGCTCATGGCCATCTCGAACTCCAGTCCCAGGGGATAGGACACCCTCTAGGAGCACTGTACACACGTGTACATGAGCTCATGCAAGTGCACACGCATACACGTGAAAAGAAAAAAACTAAGTAACTAAAACAGGTGGGGCTGGACAGCCAGAGAGACGCAGAGAAGAAAGATGGAGGGTGGGAGGAACTGGGCTTGGGAAGGAGGCGGGATGAGTTGGGGTGCTGTTCCCACTTCAGGATGATTGCTGTGCCCTTGCCTGGAGTAGGTGGAGCCAATATCCTGCTTTTCAAATCTGTCCCCTAAAAGACTGCACCCACAAGAAAGCTCGGGGTAGAAGAGGAGCGGCACCGTAGGGACCCTGAAAAATGGAGGTTGTTCAGACAGCTCTGGCCTCGCCTTCCCCACTTTGGAGAAGCAGCTGAAGTGGGCATGCGTGCAGCAATGAGGGCGTGCTCCACAGCAAAGTGCGCGCGTAGCTTATGCAATGACCTGGATTTGCTCGACAGCACCGAAGCCATAACAAAGGAGCCAGAGACATCGAGGAGCAAATGACTTTAAAAGTGGCAGAAGCCCTGCTTCTCGAAAGCTCCTCCCCTCCCTCTAGTCTCCACACACAGTGGGAATAGCCATTGTTGGAGCCGTGGCTCACGCTGCCAGGTCTTTGGGCTCCTCTGGAGTTAGTTTCATCAGTTTGTCCACACACAGCAGGATGAGGGTGAGGAACCAGAGACTCCAGCCGACCGCCGCAGCAATCCAACCGTACTCATCCACTGAAGCTCGGCAGCACAGCGAGGCTTGTGGGCAGAAGTCCACATCTGGTGGGGGAGGAGCAAGAAGGGAACGTAACACACCAGCCACACCCACTCCCTCCCAAATCAGCTAAGAGAACGCGAGACAGCAGCTGACCTTTAGAAGCTTCTTGTTTGCTACTTGTTGGGCTTATACTCTTTGCCCAAGGTAGTATCAGCGATCGATCATCACCACTGTTTGGGTGATGCGGGTTGAGCTCAGGACCTTGAACGAGCATAGGCTTGGCCGCGGAGCTACACTCCAGCCCTGTGATAGATCCAGCTATTATCCCTACTTCATACAAAAAAACCCAAACTGGACGTTCATTGCCCAAGACCACAGATGACAGAATTAGAGCTCGCGCTCCAGTCCGTAGACCCCGCCGCTGTATTCTCGGCCTTTTAAGTATTGCTGCCCATCCCCCTCTTTATGAACACACACACAGGTAAGGACAGTTGTCATCTGATGAGGACAGGATAAAGGGGCCACAGTCAAGATGAAGCAAAGCTTTCTGTTGATTGGACACGTGTGATAGAAATTTCTCTTTGCTCTCTGAGCACCCTGCCCCTGGAAACATCTCAGGAGGATGAACGGAAATAAGGAAAGAGTCTTCAAGCAGCTCCTGCTTTGGGCAGAGGTTGAACCAACTGGGGTTTTTTTTTGTTGTTTTGTTTTGTTTTGTTTTGTTTTCTTCTTGTTTTGAGTCAGGAGTCAGGGTTTCTCTGCATAGCTGTCGTGGCTGTCCTGGAACTCACTCTGTAGGCCAGGCTGGCCTCAAATTCACAGAGATCCACCTGCCTCTGTCTCCCTAGTGCTGGGATTAAAAGCATATGCCACTGGGCTGGCGAGATGGCTCAGAGGTAAAGAACTGGCTGCTTTTCCAGAGGTCCTGAGTTCAATTTCCAGCAACCACAAGGTGGCTCACAACCATCTATAGTGAAGTCTGGTACTCTCTTCTAGCATGCAGACAGAACACTGTATACATAATTAAAGTCATTATTTTAAAAACAAAAGTGTATGCCACCACTGCCTGGTGGACCAGCTGTTTTTATTAGGCCTCTTACCTCCAAATGTTAGAACATTTATATTCAGGGCACCTTTGGCTCTTGGCCAGGGCATGAGCCATTAAACCCACCTGTGTGTGATATTATTGAGATCAAAGCCAAGCTAGCTCTTAATCTGCTCTGTAAACAATGCTGGGACAATCCCCCCCCCCATTGTCTGGGAAGAGCAGGCCGTCACTGGGTCGGTCATCTGACACCCATTAGTGGATGGAGAGAGGCCCAAGTTTCCTTCCTAGCTCCAGGGATGGCTCTAGGATCAGGGGAAGCTTACTGGCACACTGCTCCAGGGTCCCAGGGTCTGGGTGGTGTATACTCAGGGTAGAGTTGCCGCTGCTGGCTTCTGTAAGAAAAGGCAAGAGATGGTGTCAGGCGGAAGGCAAAATGAGTCCTGGGCAGAGGGTTTGAATTATTTAGTGCATGGGCAATGAGTATAATGACAGTTTTCTAGAAGAGCCAGTGAAGACAGTAGAGCTTGATGCGACATTAAGACTCTGGTAAGGGATTGTGTCCTATTCTCCACGTTCAGCAGAAGGAGCCCTAACCCTCCAATGGGGCTGCATTTGGAGACAGACAAAAGAGTAATTCAGGCTAAATAAAGCTGTGTGGAATCCTAGGATCCCAGCACTCAGGAAGCAGAGGCAGGTGAATCTCTGTGAATTCCAGGTCTACAGAATAAAACCCTGTCTCAAATACAAAACAAGAAGGAAGAAGAGATGCTAATGCTCGGGCTTAGAGGAATGGCCATTCATGGTCACAGTGAGGCAGAGGCCATCTGTAACCCCAGGATGTAACCCCTGTCTACACCTTGACCTAGATGAACCTCCAGAACCATGAGCAAGTACCTTTTTGTTAAAGTCCCCCAGTCAGTGATGTTTGTATTACGAGTTCAAATGAAGGATTATTCTCCCTTTTTGTTTTGTTTTTTTGAGAAAGGGTTTTTCTGTGTAGCTCTGACTGTCCTAGAACTCTGGTTCCAGAGCGGTGGTAGCATATGCCTTTAATCTCAGCACTTGGGAGGCAGAGACGAATGGATCTCTGTGAATTCGAGGCCAGCCTGGTCTACAGAGCAAGTTCCAGGACAGGCTCTAGAAAAAAAAAATAGCAAGCTATGACCCATGGAAGAGCAAGCTAGTGTTCCTTCATGGCCTCTGCTTCAGGTCTTGCTTCATGGTTTCTGCCTTGGCATTCCTTGCTGGTGGATTGTAAACTCGTGTGAAATAATCCCTTCCCTTGTCAATTTACTTTTGGTCAGTGTTTTGTCCCAGCAATAGAGAAGCAAGCTAGAACAGTCCCTCTCCCATGTTTGTGAAATGGCATCCAAATCTTGCTGTATTTCTCTGGATTGCACATATGAGATGAAATCTGTGAAATATGTCTTTCAGAGTTTGTCTTATTTTGCTTATCATGATTCTATCTAATTCTATCCATTTTCCTGTAAATGACATCATTTTGTTCCTGATGTCTGAGTAAAACTCATGCATCTGCACCACATGCCCGTCATCCATTCATCCGTTGATGGACATCCAGGCTGGCTCCATTTTTTAGCTACTATAAACAGTGCAGCAGTAAACATGGATATGCGTGTGTGTGTGTGTGTGTGTGTGTGTGTGTGTGTGTCTGTATTGACCCAAGTTCAGTCCCTTTTTATAGTCTCTTCTTCTTCTTCTTCTTCTTCTTCTTCTTCTTCTTCTTCTCCTCCTCCTCCTCCTCCTCCTCCTCCTCCTCCTCCTTCTTCTCCTTCTTCTTTCTCCTCTTTCTTTAAGCTTTTCAGGGAAGCATGGTGGCACACTCCTTTAATCCCAGCACTTGGGATGAAGAAACTGAGAGGGATCTCTGAGTTCCAAGCCAACCTGGTCTACATAGAAAGTTCCAGGCCAGTCAGGGCTACAGAGTGAGACCCTGTCCCAAAGAAAACAAAGCAAAACCAAAAAGGACCCGCTGCCCACGGCTGCTTCCTGTGCGGATAGCTATAGGACGGTCATTCCAGCATGAATCGAATCAAGCACTGAACAGTCTAGAATGTCTCTTTCACAGCAGATTCGGTTTCTTTCCAACATGTCAACAAATAAACCACGGAAATCTGACCCTGATTCTTTATCTCTGAGGGTTGTGATGTAGTTACCCAGGTGTACAGGTATCAACAAAAACAACTTCTCATGTGGACAAGTCTACCGCTTTCCAGAATAGTCAGTGCTTGTAACTGTCTCCCAGTTGACAAGGAAGGATGGGGGAATTCTAAAAGTTCTGTCTGTGGAGGAGTGCTGGTTTATAGAGACAAACGTTTGGATTCAGAGAAGGGAAATTACGTCCGTGCAGCCCAGAATAGCAGCAGCAGCTCTGCCATTGTGACTATTTAATTTGTTTTTGTAAATATATATATATATAATGTATATTGGTGTTTTGCCTGCATGTATGTCTGTGTGTGGGTGTCAGAGCCCCTGGAACTGGAAAACTGGAATTACAGACAGTTGTGAACTGCAGTGCAGGTGCTGGGAATTGAACCTGGGTCCTTTGGAAGAGCAGTCAGTGCTCATAACCACTGAGCCATCTCTCCAACCCTTTTATCTTATTTATTTATTTATTTTTGGTTTTTTAAGACAGGCCTTTTCTATGTAGCCCTTGCTGTCCTGGAACTTACTCTATAGACCAGGCTCGCCTTTAACTCATAGAGATCCGACTGCCTCTTTAAGTTGATTTTTTTAAAAAATGAATTTAAGTTAAAAATTTATCTTTTAGCCGTGCAGTGGTGGTGCACACCTTTAATCCCAGTACTCAGGAGGCAGAGGCAGGCGGATCTCTGTGAGTTCGAGGTCAGCCTGGTCTACAGAGCGAGTTCCAGGACAGGCTCCAAAGCTACAGAGAAACCCTGTCTCAAAAAAAAAAAAAAAAAAAAAAAAAAAAAAGAAAGAAAGAAAAGAAAAGAAGAGTTCATCTTTCTCATCACTTTAGTCACATGTGAATTGTTCTCAGGTGTCACCTGTGTGGCTGATGGCCACCTTATTGGAAGCACAGTTCAACCTGAAGCACTTACATGGAAGAAAATTCTACCCACACAAATACCAACCTAGGTAGGCAGATTACAAGCAGGTTTTTATTTGTTTGCTTCTGTTTGTCCATTTGTGTTTTAAAATGTGTTTTTAAAGACAGACTCTCAGGAATCTCTGGCTGGCCTTGAGCCTGCAATGCAACAGACTCCCAACTCTCCTGCCTCTACCTCCCAGTGCTAGGATGACAGGCATACACCATGGGTTCCATGGGTGCTGGGTTCCTGCTAGGCAGCACTTCCCCAACTGAGCTCCTGCTCACCCAAGAGACTGAAGAGTCCTTTGGGAAATGATACTGCTGTTTCCTTGAAAATGGGAGGGAGAGCCTAGACCTCTCAATGCCACACTTCCAGTGAGTGGTGTGTCCTTCAGAGGTACTGTTGACACCCAGCACAGGGTCATTGAGGACCATAAAACTGCTGCCACCAGGTCCCCGTCCCTCCCCCACCCAGAAGTATGGTGATTACCTTGATATGATCTGACTACTGTTGTAAATTATTTACACAGCTTGGAGTTGGGCTTTGTTTTGGAGAAACTGATTCCTGGACATTAAGAGTTTTCCTTCATCTATTTACAAGGCCAAAGCAAACAGAAAAAAATAAAAATAAGAAAGAGTTTTCCTTCAAAACCCGGTCACTTCAGTAGCCTTTATCTCTCCTCTCCACGGGGGTGGGGGATGGGGAATGTTCTCGAGACAGAATAAGTGAATGGAGAGAAACGAAAGTAACAAAAATCTTAGATACCAGTGTTAGGTTGAATCCTATGAAACTGTCTTATCTATTTATTGGTACTTATGTATTTATTTATTGGGTTTTGAGACAGGGTTTCTCTGTCCTGAACTCACTCTGTAGACCAGGCTGGCCTCGAATTCAGAGACCTGCTTGTCTCTGCCTCCCAAGTGCGGGGATTAAAGTCACCACTCTGAGTTGTCGTTTTTTGGAGGTCAAAACGCACTCCAAGTCCGCAGTTTTAGGTGCTTCAGATGGAATCGCCCAGGGGAATTCCCAAGTATTTGACTGTCACTCTCTAGCATTCTGAGAACCAGCCAGGGACTAGTGCACCAGGGGAGACCTAACACGGCACTGTCGCGGTAAGCAGGAGAAAATTAACCACTACAAAAACTAACACCCCTGCTTCTGTTCATGGTGTGCTTGCCACATTTTGTTGTAAATCTTTTACAAGCTATTAGCTCATCTCTTCCGTAGAAGTTACCTTATAAATCATGGTTCTGTTTACCCCAGTGTTATAAACAAGGAATCTGGACACAGAGAGATGAAGTAATTCGCTCAAGATCATACAGCCAGTGGTTCTGGCGGGTCCCAAGGGTGTTCTGAGAGTCCCCACAGGAGAGATTCAGGATGAGAGGCATCTGTCAGGAGTGGGGCCGCGCTGAGAAAGCTTGGGGCAGGGTCAAAGCCAGAAGCAGGAGAGAGGAAGCCAGACCTCTGGATGCTCACTCAGGTGCAGAGCCCAGCCTGGGAAAGCTAGGCCTCTTGAGACCCTGGGGTGGAAATCCCAAGTTTCTGACACCTGCGCTGGGATCGCTCAGGGAGAGTGGAGAGCTAGGGGTAGTTTTCTAGAGGAAGTCCAGGCTGGAGGGAACGTCTGCCTGTTCTAAGGGAAGACGAGGGCGCATCCTTGAGAGAGCCTAAAGGAGCCCCGGAAAATAGCGGGAAGCCACACATTTTCTACCAGTTTGGCCCCATGGTAAGCGAGATACTGACGAATCCGCATTTTTTTTTCTTCGTGGCAAGGACCACCGGGTGCCTGCTGCTATCCTCGCAAAGGAATTGAGTGTGACAGACAAACCCAAGACACCCCAGCTGACTCCCACCGGGGTTCCCTGCCTAATCCTCCAGGGAAACTTCTGTTTCCTCTTTCCACCCTGCAGGGCCAACCCGGGCCAAGGAATCCTCCCCTCCCTCTCAGTCCTGCCCTCCCCTTCCCAAGGTGGCCAAGAAAAAAGCTCAGAACTATTACCTGTACCGCAGAACAAGTGGAAGGAGGCGAGGACCAGGCTGAAGAGCAGGGTGGCCTGCGAGGCAGAGGTGAGGTACCCAGGGCTGCAGAGGGGGACACCTGTCTGGGCCATGTTGGCACAGGGGTGCCCCGGGTTGGGGACCCTGGGTCCTGTGTGCGTGGTGTTTGAGGTGACTCCTGTCCTGTAGGAGCTGGGTATCTGTTCAGTGTTTGGGGGAAAAGAAAGAGGGTGGAGCCAAAGAAACTGCCTGTCACACCCAGCTCTGCCTCTGTAACTGTGGCTGGAGGAGGAGAGGAGGGGCAATCCCTGTTTTCTGTTTTTGAAACAAAATTGTTCCCCTTAAGGAAAAGGGAAGGGAATCACTGGCTGGTTCCTTGGGGCTGGCCTTGCTACACAGCTTCACCTGCAGGCGGAGTGTAGATTCCCTAAGCCAGTGTCTCCGTTATTTATTGAGCACTGACTTGTATCCACTCAGGTGCTGCTGTTACAAAACACAAGATCCCGAGTAGCCAAGGGAATGACTAAATGGTTAAGGACTTTGGGCATCAGTGGCCAGAGCCAAGCCACCTCTTCTGATAGGACACGTTAGGGGGAAAAGTGACATTTGTACTGGGCCTTGAAGCATGCACAGTATTTCGAGGGGTAAAGAGGAGAAAGAGGGATTGCTGAAGGAAGACGGATGCATGGAGAGGCCACAGACAGAGTGGTGCCCGGAAGCCCACTGCGATTGGTATGGATAAATCTTGGTCAGCATGGCAGTGGGAGGCCTGGAGCGCCAGGCTGAGTACTATCTATGCCAACTGGAGAATGTGTAGCCACATCAGGAGTCTGTGCGAAGATGCTGGACTGAGTAGCAACAGTCTGATGGAACCCTGCTTTCAGTCTGAATGACGGATGGTGTTCCCATCTGAGTGTTCTTACCTAAGGGAGTGCATTCCGAGATCTCTAGGGGACGATTGAAATCATGAACGCTGCTGAAGCACACACATACGCATACATACCTAAGATAACATTTAATTTATGGTTATAATAGTTTAATCCCAGCACTCGGGAGGCAGAAGCAGGTGGATCTCTGAGTTTGAGACCAGCCTGGTCCTCAGAGGGAGTTCCAGGACAGTCAGGGAGATATAGAGAAACCTTGTTTCGAAAAACTAAATAATAATAACTTAGGAATTGCTTCTGGAATTTTCCATTTACTATGATCAGACTCTAATTGATGACAAGTCACTGGAATGTCAGGAAATGACAGAGAAGCTGAGGGGAGTTGACTGCAGTGTTGCACGCTCACCTTGAGAGTGCAAGGCACCCATGAGCCTCACTAGCACAGAGACTCCGAGGTCACTGAGACCGGGCTCCTGTCCTTGAGGAGAGCACACTCCTGCAGAGAGGTCATGCGAGGAAGAATTTGGATGTAATGTGGTAAGACAGTTATGGGAAGAGAGAAGAAAATGAGAGGAGCAGTGGGCGGGCTTACAGAGGAAGCGACATTAGGCTGGTGTGGAAGTTGGCGTGTGCAGAGGGGAGTTACGCGTTCTTCAGGCAGGTCTCGCACATCTAAAGTGAGAGAGCTGTGAGTGTGGCAGGTCTACGGCATCTGCACGCTGTGTTCTCACACACAGTCAGCCCAGTAAGGAAGTGATGGGTGCAGTCCCGCTCACTCAAAGCCCTGGAGAAAGTGATCATGCCTGGCCGCTCACTCCTGTAACACCAGCACAGAAGAGGCGAAAGCAGGAGGTTCAAGGGTTCAAGGCCAGCCTGGGCTATGTGAGGCCTTTCTCTCTCCCTCAAAAGCCTCTAAACCCCAACAACCACAAAAACCACAAAGTAAAATAAACCAGAGAAACTCTGTGGAAGGACATGTAGTGGCCCAGAAGGGCACCTGCTTCAGCTGCTTCCAAAGGAATAAATCAGTGTGAGCGCTGATTTGGGGGGTAGGGTAGAAGTGCTTCAGGCAGCTCAATTTCAGGTGGAGGGCAAGCCAGTCACTGTTTGGACATTCACCAGTGTCCAAGTAGCAACACTGTGCCTGGCCCGTGGTTGGAGGTAAGGGGGTTGAGAGAGAGAACGTTTTACAGCGGAGATGGGGTTTTTGATCCATCAAAAATGTGTAGCTCACCAGGCACACGAGTGTGCACAGGGCCTTCAAGATATCCCCCCTCTAGATAGTGAGTTCTGGGAGCACAGGTGGGGGTGGGGGAGGAGACGGTCACAGTTTATCTGAATAGACTGAGGACAGATCTGGAATAGTCCTGAATACATGACAAAGGAAACTGGGCTTTTTCCTACCATTGGGAAGCCGTCTCTACGGAACTTATAGATATGGACGTGTCGGGCTTCCGAAGGGGTTTGAAAACAGACCTGCATGCAGGAAGATCAGCTCACTGGCTATTTCATGCCCTCGCAGAGATAGCCAGACTCTGAAATAAGAAGTTGGGTTGAGGCTAGAGCAACAGAATTGAGAGGCATTTGGGAGGCCAGATTCCAAGCTGGGAATGGTCCACATACCTGCACTGCTGGAGACTATGGGTCTGAGGCAGGAGGATTTTGAGATTCAGGCCAACCTGGGATACATAGTAAGTTCACTACCAGCCTGAGTTGTATATATATGTAATGCTAATATTTTTAAAGAGGCTATGAATTTGTGAGGGAGTGGGGTGAGGGGGAGATCATGGGAGAGGGTAGAGGGAGGAAGGAGAAATTACACACACACATACACACAGACATAGTCTACATATATGCAACTTTAAAATGTAGTAAAAAAATATCTGGGAAGGTGAGGGTATGTAGCTCAGTGATAGAATGATTGTCTTCCATGTCCAAAGAACCTGGGTTTGGGTTGTTCCATCCCCAGTATCTCAAAATTAAATAATCAAAAAAAGAAGAGAGGCCAGAGGTGGCTAGCTGGTAAGAACATGTACTGCGGGCTGGAGAGATGCCCTAGTGGTTAAGAGCACTTGTTGGTCTCACAGAGTTTGAGTCTTGGCACCCACATGATGGTTCACAATAGGTATGTAAGTCCAGTTCCAAGGGACCCAATGTCTTTTCCTAACCTCTACAGGCTCTGCATGCACACAGCATAAATACATACACTCAGGCACATACATAAAATAAATATTAAAATAAAAACATGTACTGCACTTGTAGATGGCCCAGGCTCAGTCCCTTGAAGTCACACCGGGTGGCTTACGACAGTCTGCAGCTCCAGCTCCAGAAATCCAGCCCATTTCTAGACTCTGCTGGGAGTTCAGGAACGGCCTCTAGGAATGGGTAGAGTGGCTGTGGAGTAAACCCCCTAGGATCAAATTCCAGCCCTGCCTCTTATAGGCGGGGTGGTCCTGGGCAAGTCATCTAATGCTCAGCCTTAGTTTCCCTATCTGAAAATGGGAGAATAGTGTCTGTCACACTGTTAGAATTCTCGGGATAGCTTGATGAAGTAATCCATTGAGCACTTAGCCCACAGAGCAGGTGGGCGGTCAGAACTCTACGCACTAAGTCCCATTTTACCAGAAAGTTCCCCATCACTCCAAACTACCAGAGAAATGGAGAAAGGCAGTCTTAAGGAACAATAATGCTGTTTATATATTGGTTTATTTATGTGCTGCCTTGGTCCACAAAGGGCTGGAGGAAGCTTATTGACAAACACTAGAGCAAGGTAGAATAAGTTTGAAATAATAAGAAATGAAGAAATTATCCCGGGGAGTAGATGTTGACCCGAGAACGACCTCAAAGCACCAGCTGCTGCTCATGTGTCCTGAACTTTGTGGGCTCAGTGTGAAGAAGGTGACTGGCTAGCCTGCTCACGCGATTCACTGATACAGGAACTGGAAATGACAGGGGAAGTTGCAGCTTGGGTGCTTTCAGTACGGTTAAGGGAAAAGTAAAACAATGGAAAGCTGCTACTGTGGACCAGGCTTCTGCTGCGTGCCCAATGGAATACACTGAAACTCAAAATGGGGTCGCTCCTGCCACCATTCCACGCCACGTGGGGTCGCTCCTGCAACCATTCCATGCCACGTGGGGTCGCTCCTGCCACCATTCCACGCCACGTGGGGTCACTCATGCTACCATTCCACGCCACGTGGGGTTGCTCCTGCCACCATTCCATGCCACATGGGTCGCTCATTCTATGCCACCAAATGAACCCAAGCTGCTTCTCTGGCTTTCCAAGGTATTAGGAGCTGGACAGTTTTTATCTGACCCGTCCAGCAGGTCCAGTTATTCAGGGTCTGAAGAGGCTCTGCCTGTAAGAATCATGGGTGAGAGAAAAGAAGGAGACCAAGCAGAATTCAATTGTCAAGGTCTCACTTTATATTAGGGTAATGGATACAGCTTATATAGCTCTTGAATGAGGAACTTGGCTTGGGGTGGGGGGTAGGGGGTGGCAAAGGTCACCAGTTAGCACATCTGGTGTTTTTTGTGTAAGCGGAAACATTCTTTTGTGGTTCCGTTAACACACAGTTCTCAAGATAGTTGGGATGTGGGGCTCTCTGCAAACATTCATCTCTAGGACAATGGTCCCTGACATCTATCCACATTCCCCATGTTGATGCTTTTGAAAAAGGTAACATGATGTTAACGGATGAATCATTTTCCTATTGCTCTGTCTTCCTGTCCCCACATCACAAGGAGACTCACCTTGAAATGACCCATCTGGCCTTCCTTCCTTCTCTCCTGTCTATACAGACAACTCTTCTCAGCCTTTTGGAAACCCTATTCATTGTTATAGAATGAGGTGGTGTCCCATTCTGAAATCACAGGTAAATCCAGTGATGATCTTTAAATTGTGGATAATTTTGCTCTCTGATAGTACAAAATCCAGAGAGGAATTTATTTTCTCCTAAAGCTGCCACCCCATGAACAAATTCTTCAATATTTTCCTCCCAATAAACCTACAAAGAGCATCGTAAAGCAGCATTGATTTATCTGGTTGGCACTAGAGGGAGAAGCAGGGCATAGAATCTGCAAGACTTTGAAGGGTCTCTGAAATGTTTGAGACCTGGCAAAACTGTCCTCAGATCCAAAATATGAACAAAAACCAAAATAAGCAAACCTGAGGCAACATAAATAATTATGACAAGCAATAGAAAATCAAGCAATTCATTTCAATTGTTTAAGCAGAAAAAAATATATTATTTGTGTTTTATTTTTCAAGACATAGTTTCTGTGTAGCTCTGGCTATCCTGAAACTTACTCTGTAGACTAGACTGGCCTTGAACTCAGGAATCTTCCTGCCTATGCTTCCCAAGAGCTGGAATTACAGGTGTGGGCCACTACCACTCAGATACATTTAATATTTAAAAATTTTTATTGTTATTATTTATGCTGTCTGCATGAGTGTGTGTGCTCATGTGTCTGCAGGTGCCCAAGGTGGAAGAGGGCATATGGTCCTCTATGCTATATGGTTTCTGGGAACTGAACCTTGGTCCTCTGGAAGAGCTGCCGGTGTCCTGACCTAACTGACAGCATCCTATCAAATCTGTGAGTCAGGGCGAGGGTAATGGTCCAGCCCCTACTTTTTTTTTTTAATCAGTTATTGTTCATTTTGAGATTGTTTGTAAGACAATGGCAAATATTCACTTATCAGATGTGATTACTTACCAGATTGTAATCATAACACAGGATGGGCTGACTTCTCTGTCCTTCGATGAGGGACTTCAGGGTGATTCTCAGAGTCCCCAGAATGGCTTGTTTCCCACAGGTATGCAGTGACAGGCAATAAGGAGCCAGTGGCCCCCTCATCCGTATCAGGTTTACTTTGGAAAGGGTACCAGGAAGTCAGATCGCTCAAAGCTAGACATTCTGTAGGAACTTTCACAAGATTTCCTTTCCAAAGAGTTCAGGCAGTGTTTGGTTACACATTCCTAAAACAAACAAACAAACAAACAAAAACACACTTCGGATAATCACGTCAGCTGTCAGACTGTACACGGAGGTAGTAGCTGGAGCTGGAGCTGGCCAAGGGGGGGAATCGTGTCCCCCACCCCATTTTATCTATGTCTCTGATTTCCTTTGGAAAAGTCCAGGAAAGGGCAAAGTGTATCCTCTACGAGAAGACACTTCCCATGGGAATATGGGAGGCGCTTACATGATGTCCATCTCTAGTCTTTGATGAGGGCCTCCCAATCTCTAGTAAAGATCCATTCTGAGAACAATATTGGAGTTCAGTCTGGGCTGCTGTTCCTCAAAGACCAAGATTCAGATGACAAATTAATTGGTTGGAAAATCAAGTTCATTCAGGGGCTGGAATTCCTGGTAGGATAGAGGGTCTCAGGACTGCAAAGGGAAGGAGGGAGAAAGGAGAGGCAGGAGGGCTGAGAGCTAACAGAGGCCCTCATCACCCAGGGTCTGTGTCTCCTTTTTCATCCTCTCTAACAATCTCAATGGCTAGGACTTCCTGGGAATAGAATCTCCCGGCACCCCCACTCCCCCGCCCCCGCTGCCACACGCCTTTAAAATGAGATGTATTTATTTTTATCTTATATGTCTAAGTGTTTTGTCTGCATTTGTGTATTTGTGCTATGTGTGTGCCTAGTGCCCAAGGAGGAGTTTCAGGCTGGAGTTACAGATGGCTGTGAACGGCTATGTGTGTGCTAAAAAACCAGACCCGGGTACCCTGGAGGAGACGCCAGTGCCCTTAACCACCGAGCCATCCTCTCCTTTGTTTTCAAGGGAACCAAACACATCGTGGGGGTGGTTCTGTTACAAAGGATAGAAAGTTACCAGCCTCAAAAGGGGTAAGGGCATTTTAAGGTGAAGTTGATAGACAACTAGAGGGGAGGGGCTTGTCAACCTCCCAGCCGGTGATTGGCAACTTCGGGTTCTCCCTGGTTCTCAGTCTTACCATCTCTGCAAACTGCTTGTGTTGGCACAACAGTGCTTGTGGTCAGGTTCGTTTTTGTTTAATAAACAGAAATGTGTGCCCTCCAAGAGTAACTTTAAGCTAACATTTTGGAGAAATAAGGGACATCCAGTTTCTCCTACTAGTTCTGTCTACGGGAAACCCAAGGGGACCAGATGCAGACCCTTTTAGGTCTGCCTTCCCGATCTCTAACTTCTCTCCTAAGGCGACTTGGCCTCGTCTGTGACCCTCTTTCCATTCTGTCTTTCCTTCATTACATCTTCCAGACTGCCCCCAGCCCCCGGGGAACACAGCCAACTGTTGCTGGTAGCCCTGGATTCAAGTTCCCATATTAGCACATCCTGAGGGAAACTTAAGTCACATAACTTTTGGTAACGGTGCTGCTTAAGATATTTGGTGGAGACTGTCTTGGAGCCCCCGGAAGAGTGATGCTTCCAATACTGTGTGGGAAGACCTTTGTCATGGGTCCCCAGAACCCACTGAGAGGAGACCAATGATCCCCAGGAGTTTACTGATTCCAGAGATCCACGGGAAGCTGCAATGGTGACAGGAACAAGCCCGGAGGCTGTTTTGTGTGTGCTGCCTCTGGCTTTGCCACCAGCTCATCAGCTGTGGGACTGCAGGCAAGTGACTTTACCTTCTTGAGCGGCTGCTCTTCTCTGAGGGAGTTGGCTTACAGGACTCTTAAGTTTTCTGTGACTGTAATTAGTATAGGATAGTAAATATGAAAAAAAAAGAAACTGGTAAATGGATATTTTGAGGTAAAACTAGCTTTTGTTTTTTGAGACAGGGTTTCTCTGTGTAGCCCTGGCTGTCCTAGAACTGACTCTGTAGACCAGGCTGGCCTCGAACTCGCAAAGATCTGCTTGTCTCTGTACTGGGATCAAAGGCATATGCAACCACAGCCCAGCTAAAACTATTTTTCTTTTTGCTTTTTAAAAATTGCTTTATAAATAATACCATTCAAAATTTCCACTTCCTCCCCTCCTTCCACTCCCCCACTCAGCCTACCCCCTCCCCCTCCAGTCCTAAGAGAGGGCAGGGTATCCTGCCCTGTGGGAAGTCCAAGGCCCTCCCCTCTCCATCCAGGCCTAGGAAGGTATGCATTCAAACAGACTAGGAACCCGAAAAACCAGTACATGCAGTAGAGACAAATCCCAGTGCCATTATCATTGGCTTCTCAGTCAGTCCTCATTGTCAGCCACATTCAGAGAGTCTGGTTTGATTACATGCTCGTTCAGTCCCAGTCCAGCTGGCTTTGATGAGCTTCCATTAGATCAGGCACAAAACTAATTTTTTTTATTTTTTCGAGACAGGGTTTCTCTGTAGCTTTTGGTTCCTGTCCTGGAACTAGCTCTTGTAGACCAGGCTGGCCTCGAACTCACAGAGATCCACCTGCCTCTGCCTCCCGAGTGCTGGGATTAAAGGCGTGCGCCACCACCGCCCGGCTACAAAACTAATTTTTTTTTTTTTTTTTGGTTTTTCGAGACAGGATTTCTCTGTGGTTTTGGAGCCTGTCCTGGAACTAGCTCTTGTAGACCAGGCTGGTCTCGAACTCACAAAGATCCGCCTGCCTCTGCCTCCCAAGTGCTGGGATTAAAGGCGTGCGCCACCACCGCCCGGCCTAATTTTTTTTTTTTTAAGGGAAAAAACCCAGTGCAGTTTAGACTGTTACCAAAGGCAAATCGCTGGTAGCCACTCCTAGTGAAAAGCTTAGAAACTCGGGGAAAATCTGCCATGAAAAACTGTGTGTCATCTTGTTCTCTGTGGGAAATGCTGTCTTCCTACATAAGGCCAAGGTATGTTGAGGCAGAAGCGGGGCTCCTGCAGAATTCCCCCCTAGAGGGTCTTTCTGGACCCAGTTGTGGTTGTGGAAGAGGCTGAGGCAGCGGGCTGCGAATGTTGCTCTGTGTCCCAGGGCGCCACCTAGAGGACCCGACGCTGTAAACAACAGCAAGAGCCAAAATGAACTGGATGGCACCAGTACCACCCAATCACACTGAGAGACAGCCTGTGGCCAGGAGGAAGTGGGAATTTCCATGGCAGGAAGGACCCTGCTTCCAAGATCCATAAATTAGATCACTGGATGCTGGGATACAGACTCGAAGGCGATGTTACCACAATGGAGTCCGTTGTGAGGTGTGGGAGGTGGAGGAGAGAGTGGCCCTTTCTGTGAAGCAGCTTTAAATCACTTGCTCCTAGTGTGAGCTCTTCATTAGTGCCTTGGCTGGCCAGAGGCAGGAGTGCGAGACTTAAGTGCTTGATAAAATTGTCTATTTGAATGAAGGTGATCTGGCTGGAATTCGGTTCCAAGATAAGAGACAAAAGTCTTTGAAAAGCCCCCTGTGACTTTTTTAGCTACAGTGTTTTGTTGGGCTAAAATTCCTCGCCAGCAGTTGAGTTTGCCACTTGTTTATCCCCTTTTGCCTTCTAAGTGCCACACTCTCGTAGATTGATCTTGTGTAGCTAAATTGGTGCGTGTGGCCAGCGTCTTCTAATCCTGCCATGGGCAGAGAACACAAGAGCCTTCTGTGCACTGGGAGACTGCAAGGGGAGAGGCCGTCTTAAGAGCCATTTTATGGAAAATCCTCAGGCCATTCAAGTGCCTCCCCAGAGACCTTCAAGGGCCAGTGTGAAGTGGCTTCAATTGGCAGTGTGTTCCTGGTGTCAGGCTTTGAATGTCAAAAACAGTGTTACTTTGGATTTAACTCTATGAGAGTTCTTTTTCTCTCAAGACTTCACACCAAATTTTACTCTTATTTTCCTTCAAGTCACTGAGTTGGGATTTTGAGAGTATGTAGAAATATGTGGATATAGCTAGCCAGGTTTTGGTGGTACAGGTCTATAATTGGGAAAGCTGAGAACCAGGAGGGGACTGAGTTCAAGTCCAGCCTATGCAACTTAGTGAGATCCTGCCTTGAAAAAAGGAAAAGGAGGGTTGGGGTGTGATTTGATCTTAGAGCTCTGGATTCGATCCCTGGTACTGCAAAAAAAAAGAATTAAGCTAAATATATATGAGTGTGTTTAATGATTTTCAGGAGAATTGTCTATTCTTTTGTTGTTGTTTTTCAAGACAGGTTTTCTTTGTGTAGCCTTGGCTGTCCTAGAACTCACTGTGTAGAACTGGCTGGCCTCCGTCTCAGAGTTTCACCTGCCTCTGCCTCCCAAGTGCTGGGATTAAAAGTGTGCACCACCACTGCCTGGGTTTTTGTTTCCCTATAAAATAAATGATTAAAGAAATATGAGTGAGCCAGGCATGTGGCACACACCTCTAATCCCAGCACTTGAAAGACAGAGGCAGGAGGATCTCTGTGAGTTCAAGGCCAACTGGTCTACCCTGTGGGTTCTGAGCTAGCTAGGACTACCGAGAGATTCTGCCTCAACGACAACAAAAAGAAACAAGTGCTGTTTATAGTCCTAGTTGGCTTTGGAATTTACACTCCCTTTCTACCTTCTCAGAAAGTGCTGTTACGGGTGCACGCGCATGCGCGCGTGCGCGCGCACACACACACACACACACACACACACCACACACGTGTGCACACAAACCAACCTCCAGAGCAATGCTTCAATTTTCATTTTTCCCAAAGATTGGCTTGTACTAAAAGTCTGTTTCTCACTTTCTCACCAGTCACTGGAAAGTCCTTTCGGGGCCAGGACTGTGTTTGTTTCGATTTTCCTTCTCTCTTGAGAGAACCAGGACAGATTTGAGGTTTACTTTGGTTTGGGGTGACAGAGACTGGCCTTGCTAATACTTGCTCTGCTGGGGCTTTCTTTATTATGTCAGCAGCTGTGGGAATTTGAGCTCAAGCAGGAAGCTCTAGGGAAATTTAAATGATAAAGTCTGTGACAAAAAAGAGACTGTCTTAAGTGCCTGTAA